GCTTCTGGAAATTGCAAAAAAAGATGCTAGCTTTCATGGGACTGAGACACTACCAACGAAAGGTTCAAAGTACATTGTGAAGTTGGAGTTGCTCGACATTGCATATTTTTACTCTTACATGCTTAGAATATTTTCTCTCTTCAATCCTGTAGTTGGGTCTTTGCCTGTTCTTAACTTGCTATCTTTTACACCTGGATATCTTGTGGATCTATGGGGACAACTTGAAAATTCCCTTTTCCCTGGAAATGGTCACTTTACTGAAGATAATTATGTTTCTACAAGTAGAAGCGCAGGAAACAAGAAAGATGGGGTTTTGGAGAGAAAACAAAAACAAATCAATAAGGATGCTTCTAATAAATTTGTAAATGCACTGCATAAACTTACTGGGAAGTCACAGACAGGGATTAATTATACAGATAATGTTGATGGTCGACCTAAGACAGTACAGGTAGATGAGGAATCTTCTGATGTCTGGGATGTAAAACCTTTGAAACACGGGCCACCAGGAATTTCAAAAGATATGTCATGTCTGCTTCATCTGTTCTGTGCTACCTATTCACACCTGCTGCTAGTTCTTGATGACATAGAGTTCTATGAGAAACAGGTAAACTGGTTATAGGTTTTTCTAGCCATTTGGAGTTATTGTGTTACTTATTTAGCATTTCATGACTTGGGTTAGGTTCCATTCACGCTGGAGCAGCAGCGAAGAATTGCATCTATGCTTAATACACTGGTTTATAATGGCTTGAACCAAAGTATCGGTCATCAGAATAGGCCCCTTATGGATTCTGCAATCAGATGCTTGCATCTGATGTATGAAAGGGATTGCAGGCACCGGTTTTGCCCGCCTGTTTTGTGGCTATCACCTGCTAAAGAAAGCAGGCTTCCAATTGCTGTTGCTGCAAGAACTCATGAAATTTTGTCTGCTAACACGAGATCAGATGATGTCTCCACTGTTTCAAGCATGGGTTCTGTTATCACTACTACTCCCCATGTATTTCCATTTGAAGAAAGGTTAGTATATCAAGCTTAAGATCTTCAATACCTCTCTATTGCTCTGACTCACCACAGAGTTGCAAGTGAAAATGTAATTATGTAACCTTTAAGCAGGGTATTCTTTAGATACGCATTCCTAATATTCTTTGTTCTAAGGGACCAAGTTTTATGAAAAAAAAACTTCAGCTTACTACTTACCTCTGAATCAGCTTTGGTGTCCTAATGCATGATGCAGTGAGATCTATAAATTTCTCTTGTACATAATGTACTTCCAAGGATCACTCAGAACATCTGTATGACATCTGCCGTAAAGAATGTGTTGTAGCGAGTGCGAAGGAAACATAACTCATATTTCTTTTTGACTGGAGCAGATATTAGTGGACCTTGCAACAGTGAATTCTCCATCTGTGTCTTTACTAATGCAAACAATGCAGAATACATGTGCTTCTTGTGGGCTGTGAGCCATGATCACTTTTTTACTTGTGTATATGGCAATTTTTTGTTTATACCAAATTTTGTTAATTATTAGCTTCTTTTCATTTTACCTTGGAGATTTGTGCCTATTATCTGTTGATATTAGAATAATGAGACTAAAATCTTGCTGCCTGATTATCTTGAAAATAAGAGGTGACATTCCTTTTTATTTCTTTTAAGTGGATTATTTTTGAAACTTTCAAGCTGATTTAAGTTATTTGATATCTATTTTAGTTTTGTTTAGACTAGCAAAATACTGTTTTTGAGTTAAATTTATTCGTTAACAGAGTTGAGATGTTTCGAGAGTTCATCAATATGGATAAAGTCTCCCGTAAAATGGCTGGAGAAGTAACTGGACCTGGTTCTCGGTCGATTGAGATTGTAGTTCGGAGAGGTCATATTGTTGAAGATGGCTTTAGACAATTAAATTCCCTTGGATCAAGATTGAAGTCATCCATTCACGTTTCATTTGTTAGTGAATGTGGCCTTCCAGAGGCTGGCCTGGACTATGGTGGACTATCAAAAGAGTTTTTAACTGATATATCAAAGTCAGCTTTTGCTCCTGAGTAAGTTTTACAAGATGGTTTTGTTATTTTGGATTTTCAATATTTCCATTTGCTCATTCAGAACATATATGTTGATTATTTATTCATGAGCTTATTTTTCTTAATACTATTGTCTAAGGTACGGGCTATTTTCTCAAACCTCAACTTCCGACAGACTTCTGGTACCTAATGCAGCTGCAAGATATTTAGAGAATGGTATCCGGATGTTTGAATTCCTTGGAAGAGTTGTTGGAAAAGCTCTCTACGAAGGAATATTACTTGATTACTCCTTTTCACATGTCTTCGTACAAAAGCTTTTAGGTCGATATAGCTTTCTTGATGAACTATCAACACTTGATCCAGAGCTGTACAGGAATCTCATGTATGTCAAGGTAACCCCTTGTGATGGATACTTTTGTGATTGTATGTGTATTGACTTGCTTATTCTTCATATTCTTGTTTACTATTCATTGAATCGCTGATATGGCATTACTAGTTAATTTACAAATACGCATTGAACTCTATAAGGTTAATGTCAGTGGTAAAGGTGGAAGTATGCTGATGACGTTAAAGGTGCCATTTGTACTCCAAACCATCTATTATCGTGAGATGCTTTGACAGGACGGTGATCTCTATCACATTATCACCACATACTAATAACAGAGACTCAAGCTCCCATTTTAAATCCTAAATACCTTTGAAATAAGGATACTGCAGTAATCTTCCATAATATACTAACAGGACCAGCAAGTTCGGTAGTTTATCATTAGAAAAAAAAAAAAGAACTAGCAAGATGGCTTACATATTATGAACACTCTTCCAAAATTTGTGTAAATTCAATTTTGCATCATGAACTGGATTGGTTGAAATTATATCCTCTAGCTTGCTTGTTTGATTCGTTGTGAGTGTTTTATTTAGTCTTGCATTTTTTCCTTTAATATATGGATTTGTTCTGCAGTTTAAATTTTGCACTTGTTTAATTGTATATGCATTTTGATTACTTTAAAAGTTCCTTAAATTGTGACAGTTTATTGGTTTTGTTACTACAGCATTATGAAGGCGATATCAAGGAACTCTGTCTGGATTTCACAGTTACAGAAGAATCATTTGGTAAACACCATGTTATTCCGCTTAAACCTGGTGGCAAGGATACGTCTGTGACAAATGAGAACAAGATGCAGTATGTACATGCAATGGCAGATTATAAACTCAACCGTCAGGTCTCTAATTAGTTCTGAAATCTTAAGAATGTTTCTTCATTTGCTCTGACACTAGGATATGGAAATGAATTACTTGTGTAATAATTAGATTTCCTTCTTTTTCTAATGTGTAATTGCAGATACTGCCTTTCTCCAATGCATTTTACAGAGGGTTGACTGATCTCATACAACCATCTTGGTTAAAGTTATTTAATGCAAGTGAATTCAATCAGGTATTTTCCCTTTATGCATGCATTTAGTGTTTCTTTCTCTTATCTGTCAATAACATTGAAGCATTGGTGCAGTTGCTTATAAATAAAAACTGAATTTACTCACCTCATTTACCACTAATTTTGTTTGTCAATATGACAATGATGTCAATATCGGAAGTTAAGAGGAAACGACATTCATATTGATTAGTTTTCTGGTCTGGTCTTACTTTATTACTTCCAACATTTTGGGTGGTGTACTCGTGTGGTGACGGAAAAGGGATGGAAGTTTTAGAAACAGATATGTGGCATGTTTGTCCTTAGATTAGTGTGCTGTGTGCCAAGTGCAGATAGAAAGGTATCTTTTATTTTGACTAATGAACCTAAACTTTGTTCTCCTATGTCGCATATATTATTTAGTCGTTATTTTAGAGAGAATTCCAGCTTCAAACATAAAATAAAAATATTCCTTGTGTGTAACAAATTTCAAATCTTTCATTTTATGTAAGATCAGGATTTCTGTTGGGAGTCTTAAGTGGCTTTTTTAATACTAATAAACCTTATACTATTATATTTACTGACCCCATGTACTCTTTTTGAGAAAAAAAAAAAAATTATATAAATCTAATACCTGCTACTTCCTCTTTTGGGCATGTAATCACATTTTTTAGGAAATCATAATCAGTAACTCAATTTTGTGACTTGTATTTTAATTTCTTTCTTTGTTCCTTGTTGTACTTGTACGTAGAATGTTTTCTCTTTATTTTGTAAAGGTTATAGCAAAAGACTCGTTATTATTATTTATTCTTAGTACGCATTCTAATATTCTTTGTTCTAAGGGACCAAGTTTTATGAAAAAAAAACTTCAGCTTACTACTTACCTCTGAATCAGCTTTGGTGTCCTAATGCATGATGCAGTGAGATCTATAAACTTCTCTTGTACATAATGTACTTCCAAGGATCACTCAAACATCTGTATGACATCTGCGGTAAAGAATGTGTTGTAGCGATGCGAAGGAAACATAACTCATATTTCTTTTGACTGGAGCAGATTTAGTGGACCTTGCAACAGTGAATTCTCCATCTGTGTCTTTACTAATGCAACAATGCAGATAATGTGCTTCTTGTGGGCTGTGAGCCATGATCACTTTTTTACTTGTGTATATGGCAATTTTTTGTTTATACCAAATTTGTTAATTATTAGCTCTTTCATTTTACCTTGGAGATTGTGCCTATTATCTGTTGATATTAGAATAATGAGACTAAAATCTTGCTGCTGATTATCTTGAAATAAGAGTGACATTCCTTTTTATTTCTTTTAAGTGGATATTTTTTGAAACTTTCAAGCTGATTTAAGTTATTTGTATATATTTTAGTTTTGTTTAGACTAGCAAAATACTTTTTTGAGTTAAATTTTTTGTGAGAGAAACTATAGAAGAAAACTACAGAGCATAGAGCTGCTTGATGTTGTCTGTTCTGTTTAATTTCTTTGAAGCACCTGCTTCATACCGTGCATTTTTAGTAATTTATCTTTAATTTTATCCTATCCCTTGACAAATAACTAATTTATTGATCTTATGTTTTTAAGCGTAGATTCAAGGAAGAATTTTTGCTCCCTGGCAGTGGGTACACTTGAAGAGAGAATTACATGGACTTATCAAGCAAAGAAGCTGATTTCTCTCTGCTCATTTATTCTTTCAGAGTGTGATAAATCCCATTCAGGGAATCAATGTATTGTTGTTCTCACCTCCATTGCATTGCGTCTCGTTGTTGTCTTAACTGATGTGAAAGGCTGGAAGAGCATTAGTAATGATACTCTTCAGGAAGCAGACATGGCAGTAAAGGATTTAGTTTGGTTTATGGGAAGCTGTCATAGTGGTCTGTACATATCTATTAGAAGATACTTTGACAAATTAAGTGTTCCTTCTTCTTCTCAAATAAACAGTATTATCCAGAAAGATGATCGGTTCTTGATTACTGCAAGTGCTGTAACTTTAGCTGTAAGGCCATTTCATTTGATTGACTATAGTGTTGTTAGCCCTCGCCCAGTGGATGTGCATTTTGCAGCTGAGCAGTACTGTTTGTTTCTACTGACTATTCCTTGGCTTCTTCAACGTCTACCTGCTGTTTTTATACCTGCTCTGAAGCATAAGTCTATTATGTCTCCATGCTTCCAGGTTTTGCTGGTAAGGCTCATTAAATTTGAACAAAACTCTTTAGCAATCTTTTCTAATTTAAAGTTCTGATAAAATATTTTCTCATGGTTGTAATTTTTTGATGGGATGTTAGTGCATATTTTCTATTAGTTCGTTCTCTAGGTACTAAGATTTCAATGTTCACTTTGATGTTTCAAAACATGTGGAGACTTATCAAACTGTGGCAGGTGATGGCAGATTCTGAGAGATAAGATCTTCAAAGAGATGCAGGAGATGGGTCAGTTGCAAAAACACCTTTCTTCAGAAGAAATTCCACCTGTTGGTTGGGCTCTTGCAAACATTATGTGTCTAGCTACAGGAAGTGAGAATGACTTTGTGAATTCTGTTGACTATGCATCCTATGTCCAGGTTGTTATCACTCTTGCAGAGAATTTATTAACTTGGTTTGACAGTGTTGGATGGATTAAAAATGAGATTCAAGATCTTCAAGGTAATATTGAAACTTCCGCAGCAAGCATTGGTGCAGTTTTACATGGGAGTGAGACATTCTGTGGGTCCTCAAAGATGACATTTATGGACCTGTTTAGACCTGTCTGCCAGCGGTGGCATCTTGTAAAGCTTCTGGAAATTGCAAAAACAGATGCTAGCTTTCATGGGACTGAGACACTACCAACGAAAGGTTCAAAGTACATTGTGAAGTTGGAGTTGCTCGACATTGCATATTTTTACTCTTACATGCTTAGAATATTTTCTCTCTTCAATCCTGTAGTTGGGTCTTTGCCTGTTCTTAACTTGCTATCTTTTACACCTGGATATCTTGTGGATCTATGGGGACAACTTGAAAATTCCCTTTTCCCTGGAAATGGTCACTTTACTGAAGATAATTATGTTTCTACAAGTAGAAGCTCAGGAAACAAGAAAGATGGGGTTTTGGAGAGAAAACAAAAACAAATCAATAAGGACGCTTCTAATAAATTTGTAAATGCACTGCATAAACTTACTGGGAAGTCACAGACAGGGGTTAATTATACAGATAATGTTGATGGTCGACCTAAGACAGTACAGGTAGATGAGGAATCTTCTGATGTCTGGGATGTAAAACCTTTGAAACACGGGCCACCAGGAATTTCAAAAGATATGTCATGTCTGCTTCATCTGTTCTGTGCCACCTATTCACACCTGCTGCTAGTTCTTGATGACATAGAGTTCTATGAGAAACAGGTAAACCAGTTATAGGTTTTTCTAGCCATTTGGAGTTATTGTGTTACTTATTTAGCATTTCATGACTTGGGTTAGGTTCCATTCACGCTGGAGCAGCAGCGAAGAATTGCATCTATGCTTAATACACTGGTTTATAATGGCTTGAACCAAAGTATCGGTCATCAGAATAGGCCCCTTATGGATTCTGCAATCAGATGCTTGCATCTGATGTATGAAAGGGATTGCAGGCACCGGTTTTGCCCACCTGTTTTGTGGCTATCGCCTGCTAAAGAAAGCAGGCTTCCAATTGCAGTTGCTGCAAGAACTCATGAAATTTTGTCTGCTAACACGAGATCAGATGATGTCTCCACTGTTTCAAGCATGGGTTCTGTTATCACTACTACTCCCCATGTATTTCCATTTGAAGAAAGGTTAGTATATCAAGCTTAAGATCTTCAATACCTCTCTATTGCTCTGACTCACCACAGAGTTGCAAGTGAAAATGTAATTATGTAACCTTTAAGCAGGGTATTCTTTAGATACGCATTCCTAATATTCTTTGTTCTAAGGGACCAAGTTTTATGAAAAAAAAACTTCAGCTTACTACTTACCTCTGAATCAGCTTTGGTGTCCTAATGCATGATGCAGTGAGATCTATAAACTTCTCTTGTACATAATGTACTTCCAAGGATCACTCAGAACATCTGTATGACATCTGCGGTAAAGAATGTGTTGTAGCGAGTGCGAAGGAAACATAACTCATATTTCTTTTTGACTGGAGCAGATGTTAGTGGACCTTGCAACAGTGAATTCTCCATCTGTGTCTTTACTAATGCAAACAATGCAGAATACATGTGCTTCTTGTGGGCTGTGAGCCATGATCACTTTTTTACTTGTGTATATGGCAATTTTTTGTTTATACCAAATTTTGTTAATTATTAGCTTCTTTTCATTTTACCTTGGAGATTTGTGCCTATTATCTGTTGATATTAGAATAATGAGACTAAAATCTTGCTGCCTGATTATCTTGAAAATAAGAGGTGACATTCCTTTTTATTTCTTTTAAGTGGATTATTTTTGAAACTTTCAAGCTGATTTAAGTTATTTGATATCTATTTTAGTTTTGTTTAGACTAGCAAAATACTGTTTTTGAGTTAAATTTATTCGTTAACAGAGTTGAGATGTTTCGAGAGTTCATCAATATGGATAAAGTCTCCCGTAAAATGGCTGGAGAAGTAACTGGACCTGGTTCTCGGTCGATTGAGATTGTAGTTCGGAGAGGTCATATTGTTGAAGATGGCTTTAGACAATTAAATTCCCTTGGATCAAGATTGAAGTCATCCATTCACGTTTCATTTGTTAGTGAATGTGGCCTTCCAGAGGCTGGCCTGGACTATGGTGGACTATCAAAAGAGTTTTTAACTGATATATCAAAGTCAGCTTTTGCTCCTGAGTAAGTTTTACAAGATGGTTTTGTTATTTTGGATTTTCAATATTTCCATTTGCTCATTCAGAACATATATGTTGATTATTTATTCATGAGCTTATTTTTCTTAATACTATTGTCTAAGGTACGGGCTATTTTCTCAAACCTCAACTTCCGACAGACTTCTGGTACCTAATGCAGCTGCAAGATATTTAGAGAATGGTATCCGGATGTTTGAATTCCTTGGAAGAGTTGTTGGAAAAGCTCTCTACGAAGGAATATTACTTGATTACTCCTTTTCACATGTCTTCGTACAAAAGCTTTTAGGTCGATATAGCTTTCTTGATGAACTATCAACACTAGATCCAGAGCTGTACAGGAATCTCATGTATGTCAAGGTAACCCCTTGTGATGGATACTTTTGTGATTGTATGTGTATTGACTTGCTTATTCTTCATATTCTTGTTTACTATTCATTGAATCGCTGATATGGCATTACTAGTTAATTTACAAATACGCATTGAACTCTATAAGGTTAATGTCAGTGGTAAAGGTGGAAGTATGCTGATGACGTTAAAGGTGCCATTTGTACTCCAAACCATCTATTATCGTGAGATGCTTTGACAGGACGGTGATCTCTATCACATTATCACCACATACTAATAACAGAGACTCAAGCTCCCATTTTAAATCCTAAATACCTTTGAAATAAGGATACTGCAGTAATCTTCCATGATATACTAACAGGACCAGCTAGTTCGGTAGTTTATCATTAGAAAAAAAAAAAAGAACTAGCAAGATAGCTTACATATTATGAACACTCTTCAAAAATTTGTGTAAATTCAATTTTGCATCATGAACTGGATTGTTTGAAATTTTATCCTCTAGCTTGCTTGTTTGATTCGTTGTGAGTGTTTTATTTAGTCTTGCATTTTTTCCTTTAATATATGGATTTGTTCTGCGGTTTAAATTTTGCACTTGTTTAATTGTATATGCATTTTGATTACTTTAAAAGTTCCTTAAATTGTGACAGTTTATTGGTTCTGTTACTACAGCATTATGAAGGCGATATCAAGGAACTCTGTCTGGATTTCACAGTTACAGAAGAATCATTTGGTAAACACCATGTTATTCCGCTTAAACCTGGTGGCAAGGATACGTCTGTGACAAATGAGAACAAGATGCAGTATGTACATGCAATGGCAGATTATAAACTCAACCGTCAGGTCTCTAATTAGTTCTGAAATCTTAAGAATGTTTCTTCATTTGCTCTGACACTAGGATATGGAAATGAATTACTTGTGTAATAATTAGATTTCCTTCTTTTACTAATGTGTAATTGCAGATACTGCCTTTCTCCAATGCATTTTACAGAGGGTTGACTGATCTCATACAACCATCTTGGTTAAAGTTATTTAATGCAAGTGAATTCAATCAGGTATTTTCCCTTTATGCATGCATTTAGTGTTTCTTTCTCTTATCTGTCAATAACATTGAAGCATTGGTGCAGTTGCTTATAAATAAAAACTGAATTTACTCACCTCATTTACCACTAATTTTGTTTGTCAATATGACAATGATGTCAATATCGGAAGTTAAGAGGAAACGACATTCATATTGATTAGTTTTCTGGTCTGGTCTTACTTTATTACTTCCAACATTTTGGGTGGTGTACTCGTGTGGTGACGGAAAAGGGATGGAAGTTTTAGAAACAGATATGTGGCATGTTTGTCCTTAGATTAGTGTGCTCTGTGCCAAGTGCAGATAGAAAGGTATCTTTTATTTTGACTAATGAACCTAAACTTTGTTCTCCTATGTCGCATATATTATTTAGTCGTTATTTTAGAGAGAATTCCAGCTTCAAACATAAAATAAAAATATTCCTTGTGTGTAACAAATTTCAAATCTTTCATTTTATGTAAGATCAGGATTTCTGTTGGGAGTCTTAAGTGGCTTTTTTAATACTAATAAACCTTATACTATTATATTTACTGACCCCATGTACTCTTTTTGAGAAAAAAAAAAATTATATAAATCTAATACCTGCTACTTCCTCTTTTGGGCATGTAATCACATTTTTTAGGAAATCATAATCAGTAACTCAATTTTGTGACTTGTATTTTAATTTCTTTCTTTGTTCCTTGTTGTACTTGTACGTAGAATGTTTTCTCTTTATTTTGTAAAGGTTATAGCAAAAGACTCGTTATTATTATTTGGTAAGTGTGGGTGGACTATGATTTTGAAATGGTGTATTGTTCACTAGGTTCAAGCTTTCAAGTATTCTCCCTTGCAGTTGCCATCCAGCACTTGAATTATCAGGTCTTATTGCATAATGGACGTAGTAACTCATGAATTTGTACAGAATCCTTTCAAGCCAAAAGAGTTACATGCTTGTTGGATCTTGAAAAGAAAATCCAATGTCAATTTGACCTTCAAACTTTCTGCAGCAGACTGAGAGCTAATTCTCCTGTGTTCAATTTGGCAGCTCACTTGCAGCATTTTCTAATCAAGATATACTTGATTGGTTCACGTGCCTTTAATTACATTAGGAAGTTAAAATCAATTATGCATTTGGTTACTGGGGAATAAAGCATATTGATTGTGCAATGGGCATGTTGCTTAAGCATACACTGCTTAATGCCTACTTTAGTCAAATGGAAAGGGGTTTCATTCCTTGGTAATTAGAAATCTGCCATCTTTGAACAGTTTATAGTACTTATATAACTCTGAGTGTGATTGGATTGGTATAATGATCATGATTCCTTGTCTTTAGGATTTCTCTTTCTGGTGGTGCTAAATTTTGTTTGACTAATCTTTTGCATTAATTTGTCATGTTGGTCAAATGCTGATGCACATTGCTCTTTTCAGTTACTTTCAGGCGGCAAACATGACATTGACGTAGATGATTTGAGAAATAACACAAGGTACACTGGCGGCTATTCTGAAGGGAGTCGGACTGTTAAACTCTTTTGGGAGGTATTGCACCCACTTTGCAGAAGTTTAACGATCCAATTCTTTTTGTGCATGGGCTCTTTTCTACCATAAGGAAAAGAAATCCATTGGCTAGGTTTGGCATGGACTCATCTTCTGTGCACCAGTCTAGTGATTAATTCATCTTTCCAATTCTTGTATAAGCTAGTTTGAAACCTTTTCATGCCTCTAATATCTTCTCTGTGTATCGGCAATTTATACATGAAGACTTGTATTATTCTGTTGAGATGTAAATGTTTACCATCATTGGCATCTGGCTTTCTAGTTTGTTTAACATCCTGTCACCCCCTTGGTACAAATATAAAGACCATTTGATTTTGGACAATTTACTTAAAGTTCCTCATCTTGATTTAAAGTTTCCAATCAGTTTTTCTGGTTGTTTAATGCAGGTTATTGAGGGATTTGAACCTAAAGAACGCTGTATGTTGCTTAAATTTGTAACCAGTTGTTCTCGAGCTCCATTGCTTGGATTCAAACACTTGCAGCCATCTTTTACCATTCATAAGGTATGCTCTTGATTGTGCTGCTTCTTCAGAAAAGTTGTTTATTTTATTTCTTAAGATGAGTACAATCTGGCTCTTCTTTGGCATCTCTGTGATTGGTCATTGCCCCTGCCAGTAAAGTTCCTCCTATATATAGAAAAGCTTCAAATGATATAAGAATTTGATTGTTTCTTGACATCTAAGGTAAGATGTAATTTCACCGAGCAATACAAATGGATTATAGATTAAATTGCCCATTAGTCGTCTTATCCATTTTAAGCATTGTACACTGAATTGTTTTTTAAGGCAATGAGTTATTGCCAATTCTCTCTCTCTCTCTCTCGCTCTCTCTCTCACTCACTTTAACAATATCCAGTTTGGTTGGATTATTCAGGTTGCATGTGATTCCTCTCTTTGGGCAGCAATTGGAGGACAGGACGTGGAGCGGCTTCCATCAGCTTCTACATGCTACAATACTCTCAAGGTACTGTTAGTCGTGATGTAACATATTTTGCAGAACTTAAAACCAAGTACATTGATATTTCTGATTGCCTCTTTCATCTCTCATCTTACCCATAAATCACATGCATGTTTTTTGTTCTGTTGGGTGCTTGCAGCTTCCAACATACAAACGTTCAAGCACTTTGAGAACAAAGCTTCTTTATGCAATCAATTCCAATGCGGGATTTGAACTTTCTTAGGGATCTGACATATTTCTGCTTCAGGTGAATTTGATTTGTTTCTCATTTGTCTTACTAAATCCTTAATTCTACCCTGAATGAAAGTGGTTCTGATTACTGAACAACAACCCACAGCCCCCCCCCCCCCCCCAAAAGCAAGAAAGAATGGTTGTGATTGTTACCCATTTAAACTTCTAGTTATGCTATTGGATTGCCACAAAGCACAGCCATCATTTATTTTCGTATCCATGCTGTTCTATAGAAGTATTGAAACTGCCTTGTGGTGGAAAAACAGGACCTTACAATCAGGAGAATAAGATGAATATCATGAAAAGTAATGCTTGTTTGGGACAATAAAAGGTTTTCTTACATTTCTTAAAATTTGTGAATTTCACAAAATAATTTATAAGGAGAAATAAGGTTACAAACTCATTGTAAAAGCTGTGTGCAAATTAGGACATTAATAGAATAGATCAGTCATAATTGTCATTACATCTCGTGATTTGCATCCAGTTGCAATCATAACATAAATTAAATATATAAATTACTTAGAAAGCTAAGCATGATTATCTTATTGATCCTACATAAAAGTGTAGGAGAAGTAACAAGCAGCCCGTGTCACTTGATTAACCAAGGAGGCTTTACAAATATCCCAACATGGGGTTCCAAATCTGTCTTACTAAAACTGCTGAAGTTCATATCTGTTTCTATAACATATATAATACGTTTATACGAAAAATAGAGCGCTGAAATAGTAATAAGTAACTTTCAAGAGATGAGGTCAATTCCCTGTACAAGTAGATCCCCAGCCAAGACTTTGTTGGCAGCTTCAGATGGATGGAATCCGTCCCAAAACACATAATTTGTGGCATTGGAACATGTCCCTATAGACCTGGAATTACAAAGCACAGATGTTTCTAGGGTACCTGTCCCACAGCAAGCCCTTCTCGACTCAAAGAATCCTGTAGTAGTAAGTACAGTTTTACATTGAACAAACACTGATATCAGTCTCTGCATAGTCGATGTATGAATATGATTTTATTCATGCCTTTCATGATTAATGGATGCTTTGATGCTGTTTGATCTGTGTTTGTCTTTTGGACTTTGGATGGAGAAAAGATCACCAATAAATTTCTGTACATGCATTTACTCTAAAGGAAAAAGTTTTTTGCTTGAGGAAGAAAGAGGAGGGGATCTTTTACTTAATTATAATGGAAAAAAATATATGAAAGAAAATAAAATTCAAGACAATATTTTGTAGATTTTCGATTCACACATTCTGCCACCATTATCATAAATAAATTATGGTTTAAAGTTCTTATTTCACAAGTAAATGTGCATTTTTTATGGTGACACATTGACTAACTACTTGCAGAATGGGCACATACCACTGTCACTAGGGCTATTGATCATGTCCAAGAGAGGCTGGTAGATATCAAATACTACAAGTTTGAGACCGGGGAGCTTATTAACAAGGCTCTGAGATGTACTGTTCAGTTTCGTGTTGTATGAAGTGGCATCTTGGTTTAACCTTGCGACGCACTGATTGCTTCCTGCTCCATACAGAGTGATGGCTGCTGGCAGACACCCTATTGGAGGTAGATTTGTTACTCCTAGCCTCCTTACTCCTAGTCCATATAGATTCTGCCAGAAAGAAGAAAACCAAAGAGAATAATGATTGGCGCAAATTTCTTTTTTTTTTTTTTTTTTTACATCTTAAGCACTTAACTTGAGCTTCTGTATAAATTCATTACTTAGAGAAATCACATGTGTATATTAAAGTCATGAAGATTATCCACTCTGGAGATATTGTTTCACAAATACAAAGGCCTAGACACCTGTTTATGAGTCGAGCACATAGCATGGAGATACCTGAACAAAAGTAGAGTAGGAATTCATGAGCATGTCTGAGAATCGGGCAGGTGAGTAGATTCTGTTAATGAGGGGATTAATGTAGTAATTCTGAATAAAATCACTACTTCCTGCACTGAACAGATGGATTGCACCAGAGAAAATGGGATTGGCCTTTTCTTTTCCTACCAGATTCACTATTTTTGTTTGATACTCCCGGTAGTATCTAAGTTGCTGAGTCAATGAAATGCTATTCTGCAAAACCAACAAAAGTATAATGTTTAAGGTAGAGAAAGTAGTAATATTAGAACCTTGCATTATATCAGAGAGAGTTTTGGATCTTATTTCTTACATATAACTGAGCTGTAGTGTCAGATAAGCCAGAAGCAGCAGACGCGAAGTTGACTCCAGTCAAGAGTATATTCCCTTGCGCTTCTTGGCTAAGGTAAGGTGGTGGGTATGTGGTGAATCCAAGGAACTCAGCTGTGAATCAATGAATCAAACATATCATTAGAGAAAGAAAAGTTGGTGTTGAAAAAGGAGAGAAAGTGAGGTCTTCAAAAAGTTTTACCAGTGAAGTCTGTGGCTAACTTTCCATTGCAGAATCTTCCTGTTGGTCTGTGTGTAACAAAGTCTCTTCCATAAGGAGGGAAATTTGCCTTGATAAGTGTATTGAGGTTATTGTTATTCCCCACATCAACAATTGAGTCCCCAAAAATGATGAGTGCAGGAACAAGAGGCTGCCCATTAGCAAATGTGATTACCATAACAAGAAACACAAACCAACCCAGAAACTTACTTGAGAACTTCATTTTCTCTGTTGAAAAACCAAAACCTCTCACAGGCTATAGTGAATGAAGTGAAGGGAGGCAGATGGGGATGAATTTAATAGGTGGAGCTCTGGTCAAATTGATAAAACTGTCTGGGTGAGTATGGTTCCAATAAAGCTGAACCTTTCCTGTAAAGCATGCATGTTTAGCACCCCATGATTTTTGTCCTCTTTGTTACTCTTATCTTTATTAGGCTAACCAAAAGTGTAATTTTTTTTGTTATTGTTTATGTTTATGGATACTGAATTTGCTTTGGAGGAGATGACAAAAGGATTTAGTTAAAGCTTCGGTTACTTTCTCAAGAGGTTAGTTCCTTTTCAATAGCATCTCTCACGTTTTACATAATGTGCTAAAGTATCGTGCCTTGAACAAGTTGTACGTTGCCATCTAAATCCAAGGATTCGTTGAATCGGAAATATTTCAAGACCCCCATAGTTTTAGATAATTATTAAATATCTGAGAGAGAGGTGGTATTTTCGCATTTGCTATCTTTGGGTATGGTGGCGGCAAATGGCAACGGAGAAATGAGATAACAAACCCAATACACCATTAAAGAAAGCATTACATACTTCTTAACTTTGTGGTAAATGGGTTACATAATTATTTAGCTTTCTGTTGTGGTGCGACTGTCAGCTCAGATGTGCATTTGTATGTGCTAGACATAAAAATATTTGACACTTCATCTGCAGCTTCATTTCAACATACACGCTTTGCAGGAATAATCATTCGTAAGGGTAAGGATAGAACTGGAATTTTGTTGGTCAAAGCTGGTCAATTATTTCATAACCCAAAAGGGAAGGGGTAAAACTGGAATTTTGCTAAAAGGGTAAGGGTAGGTCAAAGTTAGTTAACTGCAAATGGAAGTTTAGGATCAAAGGGCTTTGGGTGTGTCGGTGTAACTGTAAGTCTCCATAATTAATTATGGGGAAGTTCCTTTCAGCAAACCTCAGGGGTGTGTATGTTTTTAACCCTACGCCAAATTTAGCAGGTTACCTAAAAGGGACCCTTTAAGTTGTCATTTTAATGCCTTTAATCCACTTATTATGTTAGAATTCTAACATAAATGTAAATAATAAACAGTTATGAATTTTATTCTCCCCAACCAAAATTTTGATATTCTTATGCCTTTGAATTCAATGGTATCATTGATGGTAGCCTGAACATCAGTCAGTGTAATTACTTCAACCTTTTATGTGAATATCTACCTTCAGTTAAGTCACACACTCTAAACTTGCATTTTTCTGGCAATTTCTCAGTGTCATGTCTGGGGAGCAATGAACATAAATCTTTATGAAGGACCACCCACTTCAGTAGAAAGTTTTAATGAAAAAATAGGTACTCTATTTATACACTGCTGCAAATATCGGGTATGTTAATGACCTAAGAAAAATAATATATCAAGCCTTTTATGTGGGTCGCTAAATGTAGTTTTGCTAAATAATTTGGCGGTATAAGAATTACGCCACAATTTTATGTGTAAATATTATTCAAATAAAAAAAATAATCGAGGTGTCCAACTGAACCAGTTGCCATTTTTGAGCCCTGCCAAAAACCCACCACCACTGTCAAAGCTAGCTTAGATTAGATCAATTATCCATCTTCTTAACTATAGTTTTCTAAATTGGCATTAGGGATGATTCATTGTTTGCTTTCTCTTTTCCTCTTTTCGCAAAATAAATTGTGTTAAAGAAAATGGTCATGAAGCTTTTCTAGTACTTAAAATATTCTTCCAATTCCAATTTCTTGTACCGGAAGCCTTACGTGTAAAGTTTTATAGGTAATTAATGTTATATTTTACTAAAACTTATTTCAAAATTTTCCATGTAACGTGGTGAGTTATTTTCTATAATATCATATTAATTTATTATTTATCTATCTATATGAAAATATACATTATTTAAAATGAGAAAGTTTGAATACAGCTTAAATTGTTTAGCCCTTTTGTGTGAGGCTGTAGAAGATCTCAAATTTGATTGTCCTCCACCTTGAAAAACTAATTGATTCAGAGAAAAAAAAAATTGCAATGTAGGCAACCAGACGTATACTGATTTTTTAATTTTTAATCTAGCATAGTTATTTTTATTATTGATAGGGATGTCAAAAATATCTGACTGGTCTGAGTCCAGCTAATTGTTGATGGAAAATCTGGCCTCGGCTATACCCAGGGGCCAGGTGGCCAGGTTCAGCGGTGGAGCCAACCCGTGCCTCATCAAATTAAATGTAATTATAAGTGATTTAAGCTCTCATCAAATTAATATATTCCACTTTTGATTTTTTTTTAGTTTTGAAAAGTTTAACCTTAATTCAAATTATTAAAAATGATACAATAGTTTCTAAATACACTCATATTCTTTTTTATATTTTTCTTTTAGTTTTTACTTTAATTCTTAATCATAAAACTAACTCTAAATCTTCTAAATCTTTGATTAATTTTTTTCTTTATTTCAAATATTTCTTTGTTCGTTGAAAATATATTACTAATTATGGAGAAAATAATTATAGATAAATTTGAATTTGAAGAAGAAAAAATAAATTTTGAATTTAAAATTGGGAAAAAAATAGTTTTCTGTTAATTAAGAAATTGGGGAAAGTTTAATTAAGCTTTGAAATTGAGAAAGTATAAAGAAAAACCCCAATTAAGTTGAAATTGGGGACAAGAGGTGCAAACAAAAATCTTAATTAGGCAAAGTTATTTTCAATATTAAATAGGGTTTAAAGAGTTTTTTTTTTTTTTTTTTTTTTTTTTTTTTTTTTTTTTTTTATAAATATTAGTAGAGATGTGTTTAACAATGGGAGTATTGATCAATTTGTTGGAGGCTAAAAATCGCTTCCCTTATGAAAATTTATTAAGTAATATATCATTTTAGTTTTAATTTGGCTGCCTTAAGATTGAATATAAAGATTTTAATTTTTTTAATTAAAAAGTCATTTTTGTATTTAAAGCTACTAAGTAGGGCTGCGAAAAATAATACAAAAGCCGAGCCGAACTAGAAAACCAAACTGAAACAGGTTTTTTTGGAGTAACCGGTTCGGTTCCAGTTTACAAAATTAAAAGAATCGAAAAATTGGTTCAGTTAACGGTTCAGCCTTTTCTACAAACCGGTTTTTTTTTTTCCAAATTCTAATTGTAATCCAAGTCTAACCATGTAACTCTAACTCCTAAACTAAATCTCTAAACCCCAAAACTTCTTTACTCCTCCCTCAAATCGCAAATTCGCAATCGTAATCACCATTCACCGTTGTCGTCGCCGATCTTCAACATCTATCATCGTCGGATCTCGGTCTATCTCTGTTAGAGATCGTGACCTCCTATTGACTTCTCAGTCAAAGCACAAGTAAAGAATAGTGAAAGAAAAAAGGTAATCTTTTGTTTCTTCACCAAGAATACCAAAAGGGAGCCTGTCTATGATGAAAACAATGTTTGGGTAAACACAAAACCTAAGTTTGTAAGTGACTTAGGTGGTAAAGATAAAGAGTTTATAGATCTAAAAATCGAAGATAATATGAATAAGGAGGAGATAGAGAAGAATATGAGAAAGAGAAGTCTGATACTAAGCTTTCTGAGTCTAAGGAACCTGTGAAGCGCCCTATTATTGAATCCCCAACGGGATTAGAGCAACCTACTCTATACAAGCACACTATAGAGGCTAAGAAGTTGAAGAAGAAGGCTTTTCTTATTTGATTTGATTTGTTTTAGATGTGTTTGTCTCTGATTCGTTTTAGAAAAATTATTTTTAGAATTAGGTTTAGGGATTTTAAAAAAAAAAAAAAAAAGGGGTTCATAAATCAGTTAATCAACCGAACCAATAATTTAGGTCGGTTAGAAACTTATTCAAGAGGTAATCCGGTCTGGTTTCGATTTGGATTACCCCTTGAATTGAAAAATCAGTTCGGTTCAAAAAGGGAGAAATCCGGTTTAGTTAACCAGATTTCCACAACTTTACTATTAAGAGCTTGTTTGGTTGGACTTATCTACTAACTCAAAAAGCTTATTTAAATCTATAAGCAAATTTGAAATTTTTTTAGGTATTTTTTTATTTTTATTTTAATTTTATAGGATTATAAAAAAGCTATTTTCAGACTAATAGGAGAAACTTAAATTTGGAGTTTTTACCATAAACTCTTTTTGAGTGTATATAAAATATTTATATTTCAAAAATATCCTTACATATTTTATATATTTGACTTAATCTATTCTAGTATATCAAAACCATTTTCGGTAAAATACTACGAGAAAGCTTTTTGACAATTTCTTGACTAACCAACTAACAAATTGTTCACGAAAGCTCCACTCTTATGAAGTCTTTTCAAATAAGCTCTTCTGTCATTAGTTCTACTCGAAGAAGTTGTATCAATCGAACCCTAAGAACATTTATGTAAGTATGCAGATTTTGTAATAAAAAATTTATGAAATTCTTTATTTTATGATTCTTTTTATATCTTTTCTTATTAAATAAAATCTCAAAAAAGAAATGATATATATTTTTCGATTAAAAATAGAAAATAATGATTTCAACTTTAGGACCTTTGTGTAGGGTTATGGTTGAATAATACGAGGAATATAAAACAAAAATTTATTCAATTTAACCTGTAAATCCCATGATCCAGATTGATATATGCAATCTGTTTAAAAAATAAAACAACCCATACAAGGTTTGTTGTTATTATCTGCGTTTGAAGGCTTCTTCAGGTTTATGTGATTTACTTTTTGCTTGTCGATTCAAGATGAAATCACTTTTGAGAAGTCCACACAAAGGTAGGGAGGCTAATCCACACACAAGGAAGTTTGCTAGAATCGTTGGGTGCAAGAAGAGACAACACACAATTGAGAGAAAGAAATTCTCTCTCAAAAGCAATAGGCGGCTAGGGTTTTTGCTTGGGAGAAAATAATGAACTTATGATTTAATTCTCCCATTCCTTTTCTTTTATAGTGGGAATAAAATATTCCCCATTAAGAATATAATTATTTCTATTCCTATTTTGGAAGAGGATATTTCCCAATCAAATATGTATTCCTATTTTTGCAATAGGATATATTTTCCAATTAAATATATATTCCTATTTTGCAATACGATAATTCCCAATTTAAATATATATTCCTAATAAATAAATATGAATATTTATTTATCCATATATTTAATTGATGGGATATAAATTTAATCCATATTAATATTAATATAATTACAACTTTGCTAAATTAACTTCAATATAAATATTGAATGTTGGCTACGATCTTTAGCGAATTTAATTCCACAACAAAATTACCAAAATACCCTTGTCATCCAAAGACGAAATTACCCTTTATTTTTCATTCTCAATAAAATTGCCTTTAATGTGTGTGACCCGTAGGCTCTTTATTATGTTGGCAATGATCGAATTTATAATTGAGCATAAATTAATTAGTGTTTTGTACACCAATCAAGATTGACCTCTAGCAAGGCATCATGATTACCTAACAAATAAAGATTCAGCCAAATGGCTACCTTTCAACAGTATGGTTACCATGCAATTCCAATCATTTCATCATCATTTATCTCATCAAGGTCTGAAGTACAGAAGTAGTGTCAACTTCAATGAATGTATCTTGATATGTTTATATTCGGTTATCGAATCAACGACCATATAAATTGGATTCGAGTACCGACTCGATTCCACTGTGGTCACAGATTTTGCGTTCGTAGTTCCTAACCGAATATCTCAACGAGATAGTTTCTCTTGTAACCAGGAGTGATGAATCCTTTATTGATCCACCATAGCCATAGTGTACTTCTCTATGTAACCAATGACTACTGTACTGATAACCCTAAATAGGATTACATTAGGCTAGTGTCAAATCACATCAATAATTACACATTGTGCTCTGGTGATCTCAAGTCGAGAGATCACATGCATCACCATCTGTTGGAGGATATATTCCACAGACACTAGCGTTACCATCTTGTGTGGAATCCTCTGGTGACTCGGTCCAGTGAACTTGTCATTAACAAACACCCATGCGTCACACCAAGTTGTCACCTAACAATCTTGACATGTGAGAACTATCACTACCTTATGGTAGGGTTGTTCAACGCTATGATAGTCTTACCGTATAATCTGTGTCCTTTGTCAAATTAATATTGAGGCTATGGACAATTCTAGAATGAACACCATATGTGATCATAGGGTTCTCACAATTAAGATTTAAAATACTTAATTCCCTCATCACGGTTCAACAATTCTAAGGACATATATCAATATATATACGAGGATATAAATGAATGTTATGATATAGAAGTTATGCCTGTATTGATATTCAATAATATTATTATAAATGTCCTAATATTATTGGCTCTAGTGCACCTATCCCAACACTTTGTACTTTTAGATTAATGATATTTTTTTGTTTTTTAATTTATTGCAATTTTGAAATATTTATCCTATCTCTGTTTTTCATTTGCAAAACCCAAGTACTCAATCAAATTATCAAAAATCAATAATATTTTAATATCAAAATAGAAATGAGAACAATTTAAGGAAATTTTGGTATAATGTTGTTTTTTGCTATATTATTGTTATAACTTAGTAAAAGTTAGGTGTAATGAGATTTGAAATTTTTGTTTAACATATGTATTGCATGATTATTCTCTTTCTCCCTCTCTCTTATTCTATTAATGGATCAAAACTGATTTTTTGATACTTCTCCTCTGATTTTGAAATACATGGGAGAGTTGGGATGTCACTTTGAGGTTTACCGGAATGATAAGTTAACTGTTGATGAGCTAAAAAAGTAAGAACTTATGCTTTGGCCAACACATTATAGTTGGTTATATCTTATAGAGCAAACGACATGATACCGCCCAAGGTTTGGCGAAATCCCAAGTAAGTACCCCTGGTTGTATTTATCCCAGATTTTCACCCTTAAACTACACAATCAATGACTGTTAGGATTTGACACAATTGTAGCAATGACAATTACTGAAATGCCCTGGAACCTTTGACTTTTGATTATTTCGCAAATAAAAAATTGAATGGACATGTAAAAAACCAAGAATGCCCCTATACTTAGTTTATATTCCGATGATGACTTTACAGTTTTTTAAATATAGTGAAATTATCGTAATGCCCCTAAACCATTTGAAAGTTCAATTTTATACTATGAACAATTTTTTGAATGTTGAGGGTTTAGTTGTATAACGGTAATTTTTCTAAAAAATTGGAGTACATCGTAGAAAGTTATGTTTGCAAAAACTTCAAAAACACATCCTACAGAAAACCAACATCAACATATATCATCCAAAAACCATACATACTAAGTTAAAAACTTTTGCATTGAACACATATATAAAATATATGAACTTTCATTGAAAATGTGATGATCAACAGGCTATAAACATGAAATTAATGATATAGATTACATAAAAAAAACTCACTGAGTAGTGGCAACATTCACAATAGACAACCTAAATCAGTTGCTATCTGCACAGTTTTACACACCATATTTGCACATCAAAAAACAAACACAGTCCTATGTACTGCTTCCCCAAATTTCACCAAAATACTGCAACAACATTCACCAAAATGCAATAGCACCACTTTAACCAGAAGACTACTGCACCACCTGTACTAAAATAGCAACTACACGGAAGTCAGCCATCATAGCACCACATTGACCATAACAGTCCACACATCTAAAAACCAACATCTTGCTTCAACTCCTTAAATACCTAAAACAATCGTAAACCAATTTTAAGGGGCCCTGAAATTGTAATACAGACAATGTAACAACAATTTGAAGCACATATGTTACACTAACCTGCTGCCCTTGATAGTTGTGTAATGTTAGAAATCCGACTTGAATCTTGACTTGTCTGTGTTGCTGGGGCTGATGGAGCTTCTCCTCTCTAAAAAAAGCAAATAAAACAAATGTTAATGCATATCAAAGTCCAATAGAGAGAATAAAAGCTTAAGGCAACTTATGTTACAAACACACTAAAAATCATGTTAAATAAAAGCTTTGAAATACCCTTGGTTTCTTGTTGTTTGGAGGATTTTGTGGGCATCTCCTCCTGTTATGTCCTAGAGTTCGATAGATCTCACACCTAAGTGTTGCAGCTTTGGTCAACCTTTGGTTCTTTATTAGTATCATTTTTTTTCTAGCCTTTCTAGGTCTTCTAACCTTACTATGTTTGATAGGTGAGTACAACTTCCTCCCCAAGCAAGTAAGGCTATCTAAATCGGTCAAGTATGGGGCAAATGTGATCAGCATATGTTTTCATGTATGAAGTGATGCTCAATGAAGAGTCCACATAATCTTCCATATTCCTAATGTTTCTAAAAAGCAAACGGTAGACTGGATGCACACAAGGGAATCCAAAAAGTTGCCATATTCCATAATCACAGGTTTAAGACTGAAGGTTTAAGATGTAGCATCTACTGGGATGGTAGTTGCAATCCAATACTTCAAACTCATCACTTCCAGACCAAATAGTTTAACAATCCTAGAATCCTCGATTAGACTATTGATTTTCCTGTTTATAGCGTGAGGAATAGTTGTGACCTAATCAATCCTAACCTTTGCCCTAGCTTGCATCCGTAACATAATCCTCCTATAATGCTCTAACAAACTTAGTATGAGTAATTCTCTATTCTCTCCAAACCAGTTGTTAAAGACTTCACATGTTATTTGTAACATGATCAGATTTGGATTCTAAGTCGAACGCATGCTTTGACCAGCTACTTACATAATTTTCAATCATCCACCCATTAGCTTCTCTATTATAACTTCAACCTCTTCCATGGCTTGCTGAAAATTGATGATAATGACAACTCTACTAACAGCCCAAAACAAGTTCCTTAACATCAACCTAGGGAATTTATTTTCCTAAAGTTAGCATAAGTATGCCTAACACAATGTCTAACTCTAGTATTTAGCCAACAGGTTTGTATAGCATCCACTAAACCCTTCTGTCAATCACTCATGATAGTGATAGGGTCAATGTCCCCTAAAAACTCCTTCAACAAGGTCATATAGTATCTCCATAATTCCTTGTTTTCTATCTCACAAATGACAATTACTAATAGGAAAATGCCACTGTTAGCATCCATAGTAACTACTAACAACAGTACTCAACCATAAGGCCCTTTAAGATAACACCCATCCATACCTATAAAATGCCTTCAACCCTCTATAAACCCCTTCTTTTGTGTGGTAAAGCCTAAGAAACACCTTTGAAAATGTGGAATCCCTTTTGGATTAACAATCTTCACATGATATATAGAACCAGTGTTGGTGTGTTTGATAATGTGATCATATTTCAACAACCAACAGAAAAACTCTACATGGAGCTTGTTTGACCTCCCTTTTGTCTACTTATTAGCCTTATAAAGTTTAGATCTAAATAATTGTAGATAGTGTTCTATATACCCAACTCCTCTATCAATGGCTTAATTATGGGCCTTTTAGGGATCTGATGAAGTCTCCCATTTTTTTAGCCACCCAAGCACTTATTGTCTCTCTATTATTATAAACCTTCATGCAATTATGTGTGTGGTCATACTTCCTAATATGATAAGATACTTGATTAGCCATCATAATAGCATATAGCTGTAATGGACAATTTGCTTGCTTACATTTGGCCTCAAGCACTTGACCAACTTTAAAGTAGATTTTCCCATCAGACCTATATGTAAACTGTTGACCCTTCATGTGCTTGCTAAACCTAGACACTGCATCATCATCACTGGTAGATCCTTCATATGAACTACCCACATAATATTCAGACAATTCCCCTCCAACTTCATTCTCTTCTACCACTTTCATTTCCCTCTACCTTACCACTTCCCTATCCATCTTGCCAGCCTCATTGTCTTCTTCATAATCACTTTCATCACTCAAGTGGAATTCATTTGGAATACCTACTTCATCTTCCTCATTGTCATGCCTCACAAGACTTTCATTGTCTATATTGTCACTTTTATTCCTAGGTTGACTGTCACTGTCATTTTGAAATTGATTAGGTGCTTCTAACATACCGCCATTGGACCACCAAACACGCACCACTAATCCACCTACCACCACAAGCACCACCCTAACACCACCACCAAACACACAACAACCGAAAAAAAACTAATCCAAAAAAAAAAAATAAATAAAGCACAAACCATATTCAAAAAATCTAAAAAAAGGTTATCCGTATCCTCTTTCTCCTCGACTTGTCGTCTTCCTTCACCCGCCTTTCATTCTTGTCGACCCTTCATCTTCCTCTGGCCAGCGAGAGTTCTTTTCTTGTTGATGTCTCGTATTGCTCCCAAGGTTATGGGTTATCTTTTCATCGACCACTCATTTAGGGTTTCAATCTATGTGACAGGTATAGTTGTCTGCCAATTCAAACTTCTATAAAGTTTTAATATAATAATTTTAATGAATAAAAGTCAAAACTCAGTCAAAATCCCTAATTTTTTTTTTTTCTTTTCTTCATTTGTCGCATTCATCTTCCATTTCTCCACTTTTTCTTCTTTTCATCATTTCATCTTCACATCTTTTAAGCTTTAATTTAAGTTTCATTTCATCATCTGTCCTCCACTTCCACTTCACTAATCTTCACGCCTCACAAGTCACACCACTAACTCATCATTTCATCTTAATGTCCATGACTTCAACTTCTTCTTTTTACACCTTCTTCGTTCAGCTCCATCCACGGCTTAATGCACCTTCTTCTTCTTCATACGACTTCACCTTACCAAGTCACCACACAGCAACAGTCCTCCATCCACAGCTCTTTTCTTCTTAAGGTTTGTTATGTCTTTTTTCACTCCATATTCCATAATTCTTTTTAATATTTCTTTTACTTGAATGCTTGGGTATATGTATTTCATCTATGGTCAATTTATAATTCATTTTATGTTTCAGATAATTTTTTTGGGTTATTTGGTTAATGAATATATATGATCATTATCAAATAAAGTTGATCAAGTCTGTTCTCTATGTATAGTGGATAGTTGATAATCTTTCTTATTGTATGATGTAGATGGATAAGAGTTGGATTCATCATCCTAATAGATTGTCAAGTGAATATGCTAACAGTGTGCACACATTTATTGAAATTGCTCGAAATCATGTTGATATTGATAGGAACACATGTTTTCCATGTTGTAAGTGGCATAATGCCTTCTTTAAGTTGGTCAATGTTGTTAAAAAGCATCTTTTTATGAATGGATTTTCGAGGACATATGAAACTTGGATTTTTCATGGAGAGTCTATTCGAAGCTGTAAGAGAGCCAACCGATCTGGTGCATTCTATTGACACGGACCAACCAACTTCTAATGCTGTAGACATTAATAATGATATGTTAAATGTGTTAAGGGATGTTTGTCGCCCTGTTACCTCCACTAGTTTTGACTAGGATAAAGTGAATGTAGAAGCAGATGTAGTTGATGAGGAAAATAGTAACAATGAGTATGAACCTTTTGATCATTTATACAATGAGGTAGAGAAGAAGTTGTATCCAGGTAGTAAATTATCTATTTTAACTTTTGTAGTTAGGCTAATGAATTTGAAGGTTCTCAACCTTTGGAGCAAGAAGTCACTTGATATGTTGCTTACACTATTAAATGAGGTACTACTAAAAGGTTCAAGTTTGCCAGAAAACACCTATGGTATTAAAAGAATGTTATATGACCTTGGACTTGGATGTGAAAAGATTCACGTATGCAAATATGATTGTGCATTATTTTAGAAAGAAAATGAGAAATTGGAAAATTGTCTTATATGTGATGAATCTCATTATAAGTTGAATAATGGAATTGGGAAAAAGATACCACATAAAATACTTAGATACTTTCCGTTGAAGCCGAGATTGTAGAGATTATTTATGTCGAGGCATACATCAGCTAATATGCCACCGCATAGTGAAAAGTGAGTTAATTATGGTATGCTTCGACATCCAACTGATGAGGAGGAGTGTAAAGAGTTTGATAGGTTATATCCATCATTTTCTAGTGATGCATGAAATGTTCGATTAGGACTTGCTTCAGATAAATTTAATCATTTTGGTAATATTTCTAATTTGTATAGCATGTGGCTAGTTATTCTTATACCCTATAATCTATCGCTTTGGAAATGTATGAAAGAGTCATACTTGATGATGTCTCTTCTGAACCAGAGCCACAATCACCTGGTAGAGAAATTGATGTGTTTTTAAGTCCATTAATTGAAGAACTCAAAGAGTTATGGTTGATTGGTGCGTTGACAACTAGCAAGAGTTTTCAAATGCATGCTGCTCTCTTATGGACAATTAAGGACTTTCTAGCATATGGAAATTTATCGGGTTAGAGCACTAAAGGTTATATGGCATGTCCGATATGTAACAAGGAGACTTTATCTATGTGATTGAGAAGTAAAATATGTTATACAGATTATTGACGATTCTTACATTCTGGGCATGCATGGAAACAGAGTTGACTACACAATAATAAACTAAAAACTTGAGCTGCACTGAGGGACTTATCAGGGGTCAAAATTCTGTATAAATTGAGAAGTGTTGAGATGGTGAAATTGGGAAAGAACCCAAGTAATCAATATAGAAAACGAAAACGTACACCAGTAGAATTGAATTCGATGAAAAAAATTGTTTACTTCGAATTGAAATATTGGTCATCTTTAAAAGTAAGACATAATATAGATATCATGCATGTGGAGAAAAATATTTGTAATGATGTTATTGGGACAATTTTGTGCATTGATGGAAAATTGAAGGCTACTGATAAAGCTCGAATGCATTTGCAAGATATGAAGATGAGGAAGGAATTGCATTTGGTGAAAAATGGTGATAGATACATTAAACCACGTGCAACATACACTTTGACATAGCAGGAAAGAAAAGGCTTTGGTAGCTTTCTTAAGACAATTAAATTTCCTGATGGTTATGCAGCTAACATATCAAAAAATGTAAGTGTTAAAAGATGGTGAACTTGGATCACTTAAAAGTCATAATTGTTATGTTTTACTTCAACGAATTCTTCCCATTGGCATTTGGAAATTTTTGCCATGTGACATTTATATTGCATTGGTGGAGTTATCTTGTTTTTTTCAACAAATTTGTGTAAAGTAAATTACAAAGGATGTGTTGCACAAGTAGGAGGAATATATCGTGTTAATCCTATGTAAATTAGAAAGGATTTTTCCATTGGTATTTTTAGATATCATGATTTATGTAGTTGTTCATTTACCACATGAGGCAACACTTGTAGGACCAGTTGGATTTCGATGGATGTATCCAATTGAAAGGGCTTTAAGAACTTATAAATCTTATGTAAAGAATAAAGCAAGACCCAAGGGCTCTATTGCCAAGGCATATATTCTTAATGAGTCATTGCTATTCTATTCTATGTATCTTCATGATATTGAGACCAAATTCAACTGACCAGAGCGTAATTTTGATGATAATGATAAAGTTGGTGATGCATCTATTTTCAAGCATAAAGTTAGTTCATATGGTGGTAGGCAACTGATGCAGCTGCCACAAGCAGAAATTAATAAAATACAATGATACATTCTTAATAATTGTTTGGAATTGCTTGATTATTTAGAGTAAGTGATACTTTGCTAACCTTATGAATTTTTTGATTTTTTGATTTTGTGATTTTTTTGATTTTCTCATTTTATATGATATGTTTTAGCTTTGTTTAATCTTTTATTGTATTTTATGAAAAAATGTTTAGTAAGCACATGCTTGAATTAGAAAAAGAAAGTGGGCACTAATATTTCAGAGGTGGAATTATTGAAAAGGCAACAAAAATTGTTTCCTGATTGGCTTGAACATCAGGTAAGTCATCAAACATTTTGGAGTCTTATTATTATTTTTTTTTTTTATGGTTTTCAACTTTAATATTGATCATATATTTTAATCATTTTTTTTTTTTTTTTTTTTTTGTTGATAGATGAAAGTGTTATGTTCTCAAGGAGTAGTTGAGGCTACTGGTGATTTATATTCATTATTGTGTAAGTTTGATAGACGAGTATCTAAATATACTACTTGTATTGTTGATGGAGAACGATTCACTATGAAAGATCGTGATGATCGACTCACAACGCAAAATAGTGGTGTTTTAGTGTATGAGGAACTTGAAGATGATGATAATGGTGGTGGTGATGATGAGAGGATGGAATGGAATTCTTGATTCAGTTGTTGAAGTGAATTATATTTATGACAAAAGTGTGATTTTGTTTAAATGCACTTGGTTTGACACTAACCCTAAAAAGAAATGGGTGCGAAGGGACTTTCACTTTACAAGCATCAATGTGAGTCACAAATGGTATGCCAATGATCCTTATGTGTTAGCATATCAAGCAAAACAAGTTTTCTACATTGATGATCCTAAGTTAGGGGCCACCTGGAAATTTATACGTAAGGTACAACATAGGCATTTGTACGACATTCCTAATAAAATTGAGGAAGATCAATTGACAACGCATGATGCATATTTAGTTTTCATATTGATGTGGAAGTTAATGAACAAGAAGAACTTCGTAGGGTGGATGTGGAATTAGAGGTTGTTCAATTTCTAAAGCCAAGTAGAAGAGTTAGTCATGATGATACTGAAAATGAGATGAGTGATGAAAATTGTACTACTGAAAGTGAAGATATACAATTTGAAGATGATATTGAGAATTAATAATATTTATTATTGTTATCCAAATTTAATTTGTATAATTGTAATGTGATTTTTCTTTGTGCATTAATTTTAATTTGTTTGCTTTAATATTAATAAATATTATTTAATGTACTAAAGTTAACATTTAAATATAAATATTAAATAATATTATAAATTTATTACAATATATATTATAAAAATAAAATAAAAAAAGTAATACAAACAATAACCTAATAATAATAATAACAATAATAATGATTCTAAATAGCAGAAAACAAGTACCAAATATAAGCTACCAACAATGGAAACCTAAAAAACAATTTATCCCATGGTGCATTTCATATTTACAAAATAATAATAATAATAATAATAATAATAAGAGCATTGTCTTTAGCTTTTCATAAATATTTAAATATATTTACATATCAAGGCTTTGAATAAGTATTATATAACAATCAACCCAATCAATTAAGTGAAATAATAAATTCTTTATTAAGAATTAAAGCTAACTCATATAATATTAGCAACATTTTTAAAGTGAAGTACATATTGAGAGCCAAACTTCTACGACATTATTTTTTATATTGACACTGTTTTTAATTTTGATTTTTTTTTTTTATTACTGATTGGTTTTACACTTTCTGTTATTGTCATATAAATATAAAATTACATTAAAAATTAAATTCTAACATACTAATGGCAATGATTTTAAGAAAATCAACACCAAAAAGTTTTCATGACGAAACATAGATTGTCACAATACGTTTTTTGCTTTTTTTTTATATTTGCGTCACCAAAAATGTTTCCCAACACACTATTTGTTGCATAGCCAAATGGATTTTGCATTGTTTTTTATATTTTTGTCACCAAAAAGGTGTTATTACGGGCCTTTTGTTGCGTAGCTAAAATTCGTTGGCATCACTTTCTATATTTTTGTCACCAAATAGATTTTATGGCGTCGTGCATTTGCCTTGCTAAATACTTTTGGCTACGTTTTGAATTATTTTTGTCTCTAAAAAGTATCCATGGCAACGTATGGTTATGTTGCGAAAACAACTTGGGTGTCACTTTTTGTATTTTTGTTGTCAAAAACATTATATGACGAATTATGTCGTCGCTAAGTCCGTCGCCAATTTGCTTCCCACCATCTCATGCGATGGATTAGAAAGTCAGCAAAACTATTGGCGACCTCGCGACTAGGAAAGATGATAATGATATGATGATTGACTGATTTTTGTGCTTCAGTGAGGGAAGTGTGCTTCAAAGAAATTTTTGGGTTATCATTATGTTTTTGGTTGTCTTGCGGCAAGATTTTGGTTGTCGCTTGAACGAAGAAGAGTGTTTCAAAAAACTTTTTTGCATCATATTTTGAAATCAATCGAACCGTCAATTTTTTTCTTCTCTGCAGACGTTTCGCTTCTTTTCCCAAGGCATTGACGTTTTGAATTCAAATTGTATTAAATGTCTATTTTACCCTTCCACTGTTGAAATAAAGGGAACAATGTTTGTTTAATGGTGGAAATCTGGGATAAATGCAACCAGGAATGCCAACTTAGGATTTCACCAAACCTTAGGTGGGATCATGTCGTTTGCTTTATCTTACACTAGTTCTTTTGTTTGACCAACTTATTATATGTAATTATGTATCATGGAATTGTTGACTATTTTGTTACATACTATAGGAAAAATCCAAGAGGAGTACTCATTTTCCCTGGACTAGGTAATTATTTTTTTATATTCAATGTCACTATATGCGCCAACAATCTCACAAGTAAAATAAAAAAAGTTGGAGATTGTCATACTCCATATCCTATACATAGGTGGATCCAAAGATTCTAGAATATAGCTATAGACTGTTTTGGAGCTAGGACCTATTGTGCCTTTATTTGGTGTGTGTATGGGTTTGCAATGCATTGGAGAGGCTTTCAAATGTAAGTCTTTTGAGATGTCTTCAAGCTCTTAAACCTTGTTTCATGTTTCATATTTTTTAATTTGATGTACAATTTCATTGATTTGTGTATATAGTTTGCATGTATGCACCTTTCTGATACGAACCCACTCTACTACCTTCAAATCACAACAAACCAATATCAACCAACACAAACCAAAACCCAGAAAACAGAAGAACATAGTAAACCTAGGAACAACATAAGAAATACTTAGATATATATTGATAAAGATCAAACGATACACCAGATAAGATCAACCTAAGGTTACCAACATGAATCAAGAAAATTTACAAGGACCGACTAGACTTCGAGGGCAAGCACCTCCCCTAAATTCCCACTTTTACTTTTCTAGATAACCGATTCAATATTCCATGTAAATCCCTTTTATTCTATTGACTTCTCTCACCAAAACTGAATCTTTCATTCATCCATTCTCCTATTGCCACCTATCTATCCCAAACAATCTTAACATCACATGCACAAACACACACAAAATAATGTTCTCCTACCAAGGCTACCCATAATCCTCTATTTCACACTCTTATTTCTCCTACCATACACAAGAAAGGGTCTCATCATTACCCCCCTCAAGGATAGCCATCTTGTCTTCAAGGTGGAATGAAGGAAACTGGAGATTGATCGTCGTGAAATCCTCCCAAGTATTCTCATGAGATGGCAACCCTTTCCATTTGATAAGAACCTTATATATACCATTAAGCGGTTTTCTTGTCCTCGACATCTCTTCAGGTTCAACCACTAGGATTAAATTTTCATCAAGTGCATCTAGAAAGGGTTGGACATTGGGGAGTGGAAAGAAAATTTTATTGAGTCGAGAAATGTAGAAAACATTATGAATGTGAGCTGATGGGGGTAAATCCAACCAATAAGCCATTGCTCTAGTTTTCTTAGTAAGCATATAAGGCTCATAAAATCTAGGACTTAACTTTTCATTGTATTTGTGGGCTAATGAAGGAAGACGATAAATTTGTAACTTTAGATAAACTGAATCCCCAACTTCTAAATTGATTGCCCTTCATTTCTCATCAGCATAGTTCTTCATTAGACTTTATGCCTTTGTCAGATTTTCTTCTAGCTTTTGTAGAATTTTGTTATGGGTTTGTAGTTGGTGATTCACTTCATCCATTGTTGAGCTATGATGAAAATAGTTAAGTAGAGTTGGAGGACCCCATCCATAAAGTGCTTTAAAGGGAGTCATACCCATGGAGTTGTTGAATGTCGTGTTGAACCAAATTTTGCCCAAGTTATCCATTTAGGGCATTACCAAGGTTGATTTCCCACAAAGCAACAGAGATAAGTTTCCAAGCATCGGTTCACTATCTTCGATTGATAATCTTTTTAGTGGGTGGTAGACTAAGCAAATGTACAGTTGTAAATAACTCTCCCTAGAAATGACTCATAAACACCAGATCGCGGTCTAATAGAATTGAGCAAGGAAAGCCATGCAACCTATTACAATCTCCTTAACGAATAACGCAACTACTTTCTTGACGTGTATGGATTTTTCAGAGTGAGGAAGTGGCAATACTTGGTTAAGCGATCCACTACCACAAGAATTGTGTTAACATTGTAAGCTTTTGGGAATCCTATTATGAAATCCATCAAAATATCTTCCTAAACCTAGACTAGAATTGGTATAGGTTGCAACAAGCCAACTAGACTCAAGGCTTGATACTTATTCTGCTAACAAATGGTGCATGACTCTACATAGGCTTGAATATCCTTCTTCATCCCTTCCCGATACACAATGTTAGTGAGACGCCTGTAAGTTCTCAAAAACTCAAAATAACCCCCAATTGGTGAAGAATAAAACTCGTGTAATAGTTTCTGAATATGGGATACAGTGTTTGGCAACACTAATATGTCATGATATAGGAGATGGTTTCCCACAAGTCTGAATGGCGGCCGATTGTTCGGATTAATGATTAGCTCTTGGACAATTCAACGCATTTTGGCATCATGTTGAATTGCATTTTCAAGTTCCTCCATCCCAACAAAACAACTCATTAAGACGGTATTGAGTTTTATGTTTTCCAACCGCCGTGGGAGAGCATCTGCTACTTTATTTTCATGTCCTGGCTTATATTGGATTTTTAAATTTAACCCCAACAATTTCATAACCCATTTCTATTGATCCTCACCCAACAATCGTTGTTCAGTCAAAAAGTGTAGATTCTCTGGTATATCCTAATAATAAAATGCCTCCCCAATAAGTAGTGTCGCTACTTTTGAACTGCCATGACAATGGCCATCAATTCCCTCTCATACACTTATATAAGCTTGGACTTCAACGACAACTTTTTACTTAAGAAAGCTAATGGTCTGCCCTGTTGCATCAAAACTGCCCCTAACCCACAACTCGAAGCGTTTGTCTAAATCACAAAATCTTTAGAGAAGTTCGACATTGCCAGGACCGGTACAGTTGTATGACTTGTTTGAGATCCTCAAAAGCTTTATGAGATTTAGTAGTCCATATAAAGGCCTCTTTTTTAAGTAAAGTAGTAAGGGGAATTACAATTTTACCATACCCATTGACAAACCTTAAGTAGTATCCAATTAAACTGAGAAATACCTTGAGAGCCCTCACGTCCTTCGGAATCGACCATTGCAAAATATTGTTGACTTTGGAGGAATCAATCGCTATACCCTCTGCTGAGTAATATGCCCCAAATACTCTAATTTATGTTGCCTGAAGAAACACTTCTTATGATTAGCAACCAATTGATGCTCTTTTAGTGTTTGAAGTGTGATTTTTAAATGTTAGATGTGTTCCCCCATGGCTCTGCTGTAAACCAAAATGACATCAAAAAGTACCAATATGAACTTTCGAAGGTAAGGCTGAAAAATGTTGTTCTTTAAAGCTTGAAAAGTTTTCTAGGCATGACTAATAATTTGTAGTGCCCTTCATGTGTTCTGAATGTTGTCTTGTTAGTGTCCTCCTCCTTAACTCTGATTTGGCGATACCACAATATCAAATCCAGTTTTGAGAAAATTGTAGCTCCTCCAAGTTCATCAAAAAGTTCATCAACAACTGGAATGAGAAACTTATCTAGAATTGTCAGTTTATTGAAGGCTCTATAGTCAACACAAATGGATAATTAGCTAACCCATGGCTCCTTGCCTTCATCTTAAAGCCTTCTTCTTTCTACCTTTTTTTTTAAGAAATAAGAAAGCTATATCTATAATTTCTTCTTTGTGATTTTTGATAGAATTTGATGTGGGTCTAACTCCTCACCCAATAAGATCTTGTTGAATGGGAGGATTACCCCCTCTTATAAACCGTGAGGCTTGAGCGTGCCTAGTCGGTGTAGGACTCCAACACTCCCCTTCACGATCAAGCCCATATATTGGGTCATTCCTGTTGAAGCCCATATGTTGGGTCATGCCTATTGATGGAGGTAATTATTGGCTCAAACTCCTCATGCACTGGTCAAGCACTCAGGTCAACTAGGTCTAGCTCTGATACCATGATAGAATTTGAGGCAGACCTGACTCCTCACCCAATAAAGTCTTGTTGAATGGAATGATTACTCCCTCTTATAAATCAGTAGGCTTGAGCGTGCCTAATCGGTGTGGAACTTCAACAATTTTGATGAGGATAGGAGTCTTGTAGGGATGCATACAAGTTGCGCTTGTTTGAACATCTCAATATTCGTACTCAACCTAGCATGGAACTTCTTAAACTTAGCTCATAGTAAGTGTGCTAGGTTCCTAGTTTGGAACTTGGTTGTAGTTTAACAATGAAGGTTACTTTGTTTTAGTGGTCTATATGTTCTTTTTCTTTGCAACGCTTATTAAAGTTTAGGATTTAGGGTTTAGGCAATATTTAGTCAGTACCTTTAGCAACATACTTATGGGATGTGTCTCTTATCTATTATTGATGGCTTGATGATCAATTGTTTATAGCTATGTCTTTGCATAGATTGAATTTGATGATATAACTCGGACTATGTAGCCATATAGTTTGTCCTAGTGATAGTGGTTAGGTTTGTATCTTTATCTTGCGAGGTAATATTAGCCTTTAATTGTATTGACAACAATATGCAGTGCAAGGGAATAACTAGGAGTTTTTTCTACATTTTGATTCTAGCTTTTTCATTGAAAGTCGAAGATCAAATTACCATAAACATTTTCTTTATCAATAATTACATGGTAAGAATAGTTTTATAATTAGAATAAAAGCTTAAAAAGAGGAGCCCTCAGATGTGTTTGATCATTAGGTCTCAGATAGTCTGGCCTACAAAAAATGGCCTAGCTTGGTTGACACAAGTATCCAAAGCCTGATTGAGTTTTCAAAATGCAACGTTCTTATCTTTCAAATATGTGAAGGAGGTCTTTTATTTTATTTTAAGTGGAAATGTATTGGTAAAGCATTTATTCACCAATATGTAGCACTTTTTTTAGTTAGTTTAACTAAATTTTTATTTATATAAGGCAGAGTCACTTACACATACCCAAGGTTTGCCTAAACGATAAGTTAGTACCTAAAAGGTTTTGAAACGATAAATAGGTACCTTCCGTCATGTTCTGTTAGTGATTTTCATTTGATAATAGTGAAAAGACTAAAATGTCCTTGAAAGTTTAATATTTTAGCTTTTTATAAATTTAAAAATTTCTAAAAAACCCCCTAAGTTTGCGAATTTGACTAAATATCTCAATATATAAATTTTTTTATAAAATAATAAAAACACCCCCGCCACCTGCAGTGCCAGATTCCGGCCACCACCGCCGGAATCTGGCCGAAAAATTGTGTTACGACACAGACCCGTCAGATCTGTGTCGTAACACGATTTTTCGGCTAGATTCCGGCCTCGACGGCCAGATCTGGCCGTAGATCTGGCCAGATCAGCCACGGATATTGTTAAAAAATGTCAGATCTACGCGTTACGACATAGATCCGACGGGTCTATCGTAACGCAATTTTTCGGCCAGATTCCGGCGGTGGTGGCAAGAATCTGGCACTGCGGGTGGCAGTGGTGTTTTTGTTATTTTATAAAAATTTTATATATTGGGGTATTTAGTCAAATTAGCAAACCTAATGGGTTTTTTAGAAATTTTTAAATTTATAAAAAACTAAAATATTAAACTTTCAAGAACATTTTAGTCTTTTCACTATTATCAAATGAAAATCACTCACAGAACTTGACGGAATGCATCTACTTGTCGTTTCAAAACCTTTTAGGTACCAACTTATTGTTTTGGCAAACCTTAGGTATGCGTAAGTCATTCGGCCTTTATATAATAGCAATTACATATATTTGTATGATTTAATTCTGTGTGCCTTTCCAGTCGTTTCACAGCAGGTAGATATCACAGCCTTGTGATTGAAAAAGAAAGTTTCATTAGCTTATTAAGATAAATGAAAGATTATCGAAAGAGAAGGATTTCTTACCAGACGACATTTAATCCTATAAGCCAAAAGATATTCTCAAAACATCATTTAGTTCCCACAAATTATTTTTCACATGCAAATATTTTTCTTAATATTTCTCTCTCAACACTAGAAAGCCTAAATATAAGCTCAAATAGATATTACTATTTAATCAAAGTTGAATAAATGTTGCAGGGGGTTCAGTTTCATCCTGAAAGCATTTTAACCACAGAAGGCAATTTCATCAAATTGGTAGAGAAAAGGGAGGCAGTTGAATCCCATAACTAGAGATATCATGTCCTTAATTTTCATTGACTAACAACTCTGTTACTGTTAGGCCGCACCCTGCAACTTTTGCATTTTTTCATTATTTGCAATGGTAAAGAATTTGTTGTAATTTCCTAGTTTAATAAAATCTCAAAAGTCCACCAACACCCTTCTACTGTTATATCCATCAAACCGTAGTTATTTCTTGGTATGTTTGCCCCTAAGGTTTTCCAGTTCATATAGGCTACACTTAAAAGGTATATTTCATCCCAATAAAGATCTATTTTACCTGTTTTCAAATTATATAAATATCATTTCCAAACAAATGAGAATAGGAGGCCTCACCACGACCCATTTCCATTAAAAATATAAACTTTTGTCTTTAAAAATAATCTCCTTTTAAATTATCAGAAACCACCTTGCTTCATACCGTCAACATATGAAGCTATAGCCTATATCATCTCACAAAGATTTAGACTGGAACTGACCACATCATTTTACATTTCAAGCCATATTAGAATTTTCAGTGGTATATGTTATAAAGTAACATCTTATTAAAATGCAGCCTCGATAATAAAATCACACTATCACAGAAGAAACAGCTGACATATGATCAACATAATTATATAAACAAAATTAAAATAACTATACACCAATTAAGTTTAGCCACACACACACAGTTGATACAAAATTTGCATTTGGATATATCTTCAAATCAACTTCAATCTAATCTATACATACAAATTCACCAACATATATTTCTAATTTCTGTATCACACCAAAGCACAAAGCCCATCATTTTTCATAGAAACTGAAAATAAATATATAATACTAAAAGATCAAATCAGTGTCAAACATTAGGCGTAACAGTCGTATAGAATGGCATCACTTCTCATTCAGAGCAAATGATAACCCTAATTATAATACATAAATACCTGGAAAGAACCTTTTAATGCATAAAGACATGACTCACTTCTCTATATAGTAAGCAGAACTGGAGGTTTGCTTCTCTCTTCTCTTCTCTAATTCAGTCCCAAGTCTACATATATAATCCAAAATTGTACACTGTCAGTGAAACAAAAGCTGGAAGTTGTCGTCATCAGTTACAACTACATAGTCATATCCCAGACTGTTGGCACGATTCTGGAACTCTTCCATCTCATTCTTTGCAACCTGGATTCCTACCAATACATTGGCACCAGTTTCACCCTGTCGCACAAGAAATTAAACAGTTGTCAGTGGTTATGGGAAAAATTCGTTGAAATGCTGTACCCAAAAGGTGGAGCCAGCCACATAAGAGTCTAGGAGAGGTAAAGCCTCCTGAACTTTGGGAAAGGAAGAAAATATCCCTTATGATTTTCAATATCTTAAAATTACTAAAACTAAATGTGCTATAGACTCTCATGCTTCACTATGTTGATCAACTAATATAGTATGGTAGATATTTTCATAAGGTTTGAGCACATAAGCTTGTCAGTTTTCATAGTAAACCTGAATATGCTTATTATTGACTCAACTTACTTCCTTATATGGTGAATGCATACAGAGAATCCTGATTGTGAATAAATGTTAGATTTTTCCTTGATGCAAGGTTATTGATTTATTCTATACCAGAATAATTTGTTATAATACTAGGTGGAATCACACCTCAACTGGTGAAAAAAAAAAGACAATGGTTCCAGTTTTGGAACAACGATTATCAATGTGTACACTGTTATGTCAAATTAGTCACTACAAATCATGCAAATCTATGACTTCTATATTGCCTAGACATCATGCCTTAAGATACATTGATTACTCAAGTTTATAGCTCCATGGGCTACTTCTCCAATAGTTGTAAATAACATTGATAATCAATAATGAATATTAAACACTTCAAGGTTTCTATTTTTGTTTAAATTTTTAATTTAAATTTGTGATTTGAACTTGCCCTCATGAATTGAGTTCCTCTTTGCCCTTGGCCCACAAACTATAAAGCTTTATAATGAACAAAAAGTTTGGATGCCCACCTGACCACGGTAATGGAACAAGCTAATATTCCATCGCGGACTAAAAGTGTCCAAGAACTTCAACAAAGCACCAGGCCTCTCAGGGAAAACAAAACGACAAAGGACCTCGTCTGCAACATTTAATCTGCCACCCATCTGAAAGAAAAACAGAGCTAAGTAAAGTCAGTGCCAAAAATGCACACAAGACAAGAATTAAATACACAAAACACCAAGTTTCAGAGAGAATAACATATTTTTGCCATTTTCATTATCAAAAAAATGATTTTAAACAGAACCTCTTTCAAGGGATGATATTCAGTAATCTATTGAATGAATAAAAATGAAAAGCTAAAGTGTGCTGGTCTTCCCAACAATATGATATGGGCCTCACACAGCACAAATATAGGTGATGTGAGCTGAGTTTGTAGATGTAAGGAGCCCTTGACAACCAGGAACCAGAAACAGCACTAAAGTTCCACTACCCATTGTTGAGTAAATGACAATAGATATAGAAAAGTGATGCCATTAACTTATTTTTCACAATTCAAGGGCGAAATAATAACCAATCTATTGTTTTCATGAATAAATGTCCTGTTTAAATTTTTCACTGGAAAGGACAAAAATAATACGACAGGGTTGTTTACATGCTGATGTCAGGTAACAGACACATCCATCAATGGATATATTAAGAAATATAAACCACATGGAATGGCTTTAATATGCACTGAAAAGTTTTACTGTTAGTTTTCTTCACATTTAAACATTGAATAAGAAGTACTACACTAAATTTTGAAAAAAAAAAATCATATGAATAAGAAGGAATGACGAGATCATATAAACAAGTTTAAATAAGAAACCACTTCAATTTTGCATTTAGAAACCACAAACAAGTGTACTTTCTTCTTCAAAATTTCTTCATCTATCACATAATTTTCACATGTTACCACATAACTCTGAAAATGAAGCATTCAGGACTTTGTAGAGTATTTTTCAGGCTTCCATGGCATAAAGAAGAACCTCTTTAAAAAAAAATTTTCCTTACTAAGATCCATCTTTAAAAATGAGAATGGGTCAATTAAGTATGTTAACATGTTGAGGAGAAAGAAAGAAAGAAAGGAACTGTAATGTCAAACTAATGTATACCACTAGAAAATGTTTCAGGGGTGTTGAGTAACCAAACAAGAGAATGAGAGAGAGGAACTGCAATGTCAAGTCAATTTGCAGGTACTAGAAGGCATTTCAGGAGCCTTGGGTAACCAACATTAGTTTGCACCAGTAAAAAACAGTTTAATACACTTCCAAACATTTGCCTGATAACCATCAAACACTAAATAAGCATTCAATTCAACTAAAAACTGAGATTTAGGGAGAAAATTATAATTACCAAATATCGCAAGTGATCTTTAACCAAGTCGCTTGATGTGAGATTGTAAGTTTTAAGTTGAGAAGATTCCATTCGCTCCAGCATTGCTTCAAGCTCAGCAACAGTGTGAACACCAACACTGCATTTAAAATAGAGAAAGGATTTTAAATAATACTGCTTTTAATATAATAGTGATAAAGAAATGACCCCTTTTAACTAACAAATGCAATTGTAGATTGGTATATACATCCAGATTATACACAAACAATAGCCATAATTATGAAAATATAAGACAGACAGGACAAACAGATGATAAGAACACTCCATTAAAACAACTTCAACAGAAGGATTAGTTATTTTTGTTATTATTGATTATGAATTCAAGTCACTTGCCTGTATAGAACCACGGCTTCTTTATTAGAAGTACACCGGTATTTGAATTCAGTGATATTCATAGGCCCCACCTGCCAAACCCAATGATTTTCAGGTTACACGAAGATGAATCTTCATTGAATAAGTTCATTAAGCAAGAGATACTTACAAGTTCACAAAATTGTTTGAAACTCCCACGCTCCTCAGGCATAATTGTTGCAAGGACAGCCTCTTGTTGCCTACCAACATTAGCAAGTTCAGTCACCACCCTCAATTTATCAAAATTCATGTTTGCCCCACTGGTTATAGCTACAACATTTTCTCCGCTGAGGCCATAATATTTGCAGTATGCTTCAGCTCCGGCAAGGGCAAGAGCACCTGCAGGTTCTAAAATGCTTCTTTTCTCCTCAAACATGTCCTACAAACCATAATTATCATTGTAAATCATCAAGGCTGAAACACTATATGCCAATTCTCAAGGATGATCATCATTTCTTCATTAAACTTCATTTCTAACTGTAATAATCCATAACAGGAAAGTGCAGCAAATTTAGAAACTTGAAGCTATTTCAATTGAACAAACAAAACTGGAGCGAAGGGAGACAGGGGGAAGCATGATAATTATAATAAATAATACAACTACAGTACTAACTCTAAAAAGGAAAAGACTTCATTTTCCACCTAAAGTGTAAAACACCAACGGATCTTAAGCCTCACCTTTATCGATGCACAGATAGCATCACGGCTGACAAGAACTACACCATCTACCAATTCCTTGCATAAGCAGAAGGTTTCTTCACCAACCTCTTTAACAGCCACACCGTCTGCAAAACCACCAACTTGATCCAACACCACTCTTTCACCATGATGTAGTGACAATGCCATTGCATTTGCATCAGAAGGCTCCACTCCAATAATGTTAACCTATATTGATGATATCACATTTAGTTGCCTTAATCGATTACATGTTTCAGTAAGAAAAGATTAGCTAAACACAAGTTAAAATAAAAGGGCTGAAAAACAAAGATATTTGATCTGATACACAATCTCAAGGCACTTCCCCATAAACATTTTACACTGAAATTAGAATCAGTAAGATTGTGATACATAAACTACAGAAACAAATCAGGAGTTCGGGAGTGGCATAAATGAATCAACCAAAAAATAAAAAATAAACTTCCAGTGATTTGGTACATTCTCAACAAGAATGAATTAGTATATGAGAAAATTTTAAAATAATGAGAACAGAAGGCATGATTGTAACAGAATCAGTTTTAATATGTAAGGTCAAAAGGCAAGTAGCAATAGGAATTCAGCTGACTCCAGCACTTTCGACAAAAAGATAATATTTGGGAATGATAAATCCAAAAAACAAACATTTGATAATAAAAAAAGAAATAACCTTTTAGTTTCAATCAATTATTAGGTCCTCTTCCACATTGTTTTACAGGGTAATAGTAGTGCATATCAATAATCTAAGCCCATAACCGTATCAATCTTTCAGATAGAACAAACTCCGATTGCTATCAAGAAAACTTGTACAAGTTTGAGCTATATGCTACATTTTGAAATTTTGAAAGGACTATCAAGGTTGCAAAAGCAGAACAGACAGGACTTAACAAAGCACAATAACTTCTACCAAGCCTTAGATCATTCTCTGCATATAGAAACTTCTAATAGAGCATTATGGAATAGTTAGCCCATTACACTTAACTTCAAAGCATAAGGTTGATAATGAAATTTGTAAATGGTGTAGCAAAGTTTAGCATCATATAATTTGACACTCATTTATGTCAATGACCCAGAATAGGAATATTAATTTCATTTTATTCTGGATATCATGAGCCTGATCATGCGTCTAAAACCAAATGAAATTTCATGGGAATATAATTAGTGAAATTACCCTCTCCTAGAAGTTCAAAAAAGAAGATAAATAAAGCTAAAATTCTTTCTAGGGTTTTTGCCATGCTGCAGCATCAAACAATGTTTTCAAGCAGAAAACAACAATGCCACATAAATCATAAGAGAATGAAGATTGCCATGAGTTCTTACACAACAGCCAACAGACCTGTGGAGAAACCCTCTTTACATAAGCAGCAATACCAGCAATTAGCCCGCCACCCCCAACAGGCACAAAGATCGCATGCAATGGTCCTTGCATTTGACGTATAATTTCCATCCCGATTGTTCCCTGCCCCATGATTACATCTGGATGATCAAAAGGAGGTACAAATGTACGACCTTCCTCTTTGGCCCGTTTTTTAGCGTAAGCCTGTGCCTCATCATAGGAATCCCCCACAAGAACAACTTTTGCTCCCAACCTCTTAACAGATTGCCACTGTAGAAAAAAAAACACATTTCAATGAACAAACCACAATTTTGGGACACAAGTACCATCTCAATAAGGTAAAATGTACCTTGATTTCTGGAGTTGTAACCGGCATAGCAATCACTGCATCGCAGCCTAGTGTCTTGGCAGATAATGCAACTCCTTGGGCATGATTTCCTGCGGATGAGCAGATAACGCCTTTTTTCAATTGATCCTTCGGAAGTTTTGCCATCATGTTATATGCTCCACGAAGTTTGAACGAGAAAACCTAAAAATCCAAACCATTATATCCATAATTTGATTTCATAATACAAACATGTTCTCAATTCAAACACAGTAGTCCTCCTAACTGATTCATCCAAGAGGTTACTTACTGCATTCCAAAAATTAAAAACTTAAGTCCCATCTGGTTGCATAAAATTGGAATTGAGTTCGAATTAAGAGAAATAATTCTAATAAACTCTTAAGAAACTGTAATATAAAACTCTAGTTTAATTAATTATATCATAATTGAAAAGAAACTAGAATTCAACGAATTAAAACAAGGATAAGATAGAAACCGGATGAAATGCAAATCTTAACACTAATGTTTCTAGAAACTACAACACTTAAATGAAGAGCAAACTCGTAAAACGTTCCTGAAAAATTAAAATCAATGTAAAACAAATAAATAAAAATTCCTCAAACAGAAAAAATCATGCTCATATTTCACTAAATTTACGAAAAAAAATGAGCTCAAATTAGACAATAAAAAAAAAAACAAATTAAAAGTAAAACTTACAGGCTGTAAATCTTCTCTCTTAAGCCAAAGCTTAACTCCTATTCGCTCAGACAACTTTGGCGCGAACTGTAACGGCGATTCGATTGCCACGTCATACACCTTGGACGCGAGTATATTGGTCAAATAATTCATGGCATTAGTAATGTTGTCACCGTCATCGTTAACAGTACGCTCCGGTACTGCACCGAGGTAACCAGACGGGTACTGCAGAGAATTCGGCGACACTTTATTCGTAGACGACGGAGGATGCGGTGATAGTAACGTACTTTCGCGGGAAGGAACGGCTGGCGAGATCTCCGCCGCCGGTTTGGACAGCGCGGCCTTTATGTACGGCCCTTTTTTGGCGGCGGTGAGGTGGAAACCGGTGGAGAATGGCGGCTGGAACCATCCATGACGGTCCGGGTGGAGGAGAGGAGAGTGTGGAGACCTCAACCGGAGAGACTCCATCGCAAGGCGGGTCGGGTTTCGGGTGGCTGCTGTAAATGTTTGAGTCTTGAGTTGAGACAGGCCAGGGACCTTTCAAAACGTTGGCTTCGGGTTTATATACACGACGTTGTTCGTTTATTTTGGAAAGTTGACCTATTAAATAGTGACACGTGGATTAAAATTTTATACGTGGCAATTTGGCAGTGAGGATGACTGAGTTTCTTGTGAAACTGCAAGTGAGTTTAAAATTGCCGCTATTTTAAGCACATGAGGCAATTCGGCAGCCTGTNAACTCAATTTAAGTTAAAACAATAAACTTTTAGCTAATACGACAAATCTTAAATACATACCTCAAGTGGGATATTACAGAATGACTGCTTGACGAACTGTGAAAGACTCAGCCAAGTATGCATCTGGGAACATGGGTTTCTTCATTCTCATAGCTGCCATAAATCTGCCTTGCCAGTCCCGAATCGTAATTCCAACACCAATTGTGCAGTCTTCTTTTCTCACACTTGCATCCCAGTTTATCTTGTAGATACCTTCAGGAGGTGGCTGCCATCTTGGTGAACTGGGATCAGGAATCTGAGGCTGAGCATTAGGAGAGGTCCTCGATTGGTGCAAGGAGTTTAACATGTCCAGTTCTTGAGTTGCATGGTGAATGATCTAGGATGGAGTAGAGAGATGTTGTTTGAAAGTAAGCTCATTCCTTCTTTGCCAGATTTTTTAGACCACCACTCCAAATTCAGCTAAATGCTTTTCCTCTAATTCGGATAGAAAAAACATAACTAGCTCTCTGAAGTCGATGAAATTGTCATTCATCTTTTAGAAGGTTCGAGAACAACTTGACCAAATATCCTTGGCAGCAGCGCAGCCCCATAAAGCATGTAAGACATCTTCTTCTTCTGAGCAACAGAATGGGCAAAAAGGATCCTCAATCACCCTTTTCTTGACAAGGTTACACTTGGTAGGTAGAATGTCTTGGCAAGCTTTCCACAAAAATAGCTTCTCTGCATTAGTGATGGGAAGCTTCCATAACTTCTTCCACTTTTTATTCTCATTGGCTGCAGAAGAGGATTGGCCTCGGGATGAGAGTTGAGACTCCACTTGCAGGTGATATGCACTCCTTACCGAGAATAGACCATTTTGAGAGCATCTCCAAACAAGTTTATCTGGTCTATTGAAGACACTGATAGAATTTGACAGATGGTGTTAACTTCTGATTCAGAGAACAAGTCTTTGAGCAGATCCAATTTCCAGGATTTTGATTGGGGACTATGAGAGTAGCCACCTTAGCCTCCGGGTCCATACCAAGGCATTGACTTTGAATCTTAAATGAAGATGGAGAAGGAAGCCATTTGTCTTGCCAAATCCGCGCCTTGGAACCATCACCAATGCGTCACATTAAACCATATTCCAAAACTGGCCTTGCTGCCATTACACTTCTCCAAATAAATGATAATGTTCTTTTAACTTTAGCTTCTAAGAAATAACCCTCAGGATAGTATTTAGCAGATAAAACTCTCACAGCAAATGAATTAGGATAATGAAGAAGTCTCCAACCCTGCTTGGCAAGCATAGCCAAGTTAAAGAGTTCTAAATCTCTGAAGCCTAAGCCACCATTGGTCTNCTGACTAGAGGGGGGTTTTACATTTAATTAGTGATAGAAGTTTTACTTTTAAGTGTGATTAGGAATTAACTTCTATATAAATCAATGTATTTGTTAGTTTATGTGTGAGAAGAATATAGAATAAACCACAAATTCCCACCCAAGGTGTGGTGAAATCCAAGGTTTACTCCCTTTTTTTTTTTTTTTAAATCAAATGAGCTTTATATTCATTCAATAGGATCGACTAAGGATCCAATACAATTTGGAACATCTTCAAGCTCTACCAATACATCATCTATGGTTAGAGCATCTTTAGCTAAAGTATGAGCAATCACATTGGATGCTCTATTAACATGATGAACCAAAAAAGTTTGAAAATTCCTAGAAACCACTTTAGTATCCATAGAGATTAGACCAGCTTGGCCCCAATTGTCTTCATCCCTAAGAAGATCATTGACTACTTGAAGTGCGTCCCCTTCCAGGATAATTTGGTTAATACCAATATTTGCTGCTGGAATAACTGCTTGAAGAGTTGCGAAAGACTCAGCCAAGTATGCATCTGGGAACATGGGTTTCTTCATTCTCATAGTTGCCATAAACCTGCCTTGCCAGTCCTGAATTGCAATTCCAACACCAATTGTGCAGTCTTCTTTTCTCACACTTGCATCCCAGTTTATCTTGTAGATACCTTCAGGTGATGGCTGCCATCTTGGTGAACTGGGATCAGGAATCTGAGGATAAGCATTAGAAGAGGTCCTCGATTGGTGCAAGGAGTTTAACATGTCCAGTTCTTGAGTTGCATGGTGAATGATCTGGGATGGAGTAGAGAGATGTTGTTTGAAAGTAAGCTCATTTCTTCTTTGCCAGATTTTTGAGACCACCACTCCAAATTCAACTAAATGCTTTTCCTCTAATTCGGATAGAAAAAACATAACTAGCTCTCTGAAGTCGATGAAATTGTCATTCATCTTTTGGAAGGTTAGAGAATAACTTGACCAAATATCCTTGGTAGCAGCGCAGCCCCATAAAGCATGCAAGACATCTTCTTCTTCTGAGCAACAGAAAGAGCAAAAAGGATCCTCAATCACCCTTTTCTTGACAAGGTTACACTTGGTAGGTAGAATATCTTGGCAAGCTTTCCACAAAAATAGCTTCTCTGCATTAGTGATGGGAAGCTTCCATAACTTCTGCCACTTTTTATTCTCATTGGCTGTAGAAGAGGACTGGCCTCGGGATGAGAGTTGAGACTTCACTTGCAAGTGATATGCACTCTTTACCGAGAATAGACCATTTTGAGAGCATCTCCAAATAAGTTTATCTGGTCTATTGGAGACACTGATGGGAATTTGGCAGATGATGTTAACTTCTGATTCGGAGAACAAGTCTTTGAGCAGATCCAACTTCCAGGATTTTGATTGGGTAGATCAGAGTAGCTGCCTTAGCCTTTGGGTCTATACCAAGGCATTGACTTTGAATCTTAAATAAAGATGGAGAAGGAAGCCATTTGTCTTTCCAGATCCGGGCCTTGGAACCATCATCAATGCACCATATTAAACCAGATTCCAAAACTGGCCTTGCTGCCATTACACTGCTCCAAATAAAGGATGATGTTCTTTTAACTTTAGCTTCTAAGAAATAACCTTCAAGATAGTATTTAGTAGATAAAACTCTTGCAGCAAATGAATTAGGATAATGAAGAAGTCTCCAACCCTGCTTGGCAAGCATAGCCAAGTTAAAGAGTTCTAAATCTCTGAAGCCTAAGCCACCATTGGACTTGGACAGCTTCATTTTATCCCATGAACACCAATGAATCCTACTTTCGTCATTCTTTTGGCCCCACCAGTAATTTTTAGTCAATCTATTCAGCTCTTGTAAGATGGTTTTTGGGATTTTAAAAACACCCATGCTATATGTTGGAAGAGCTTGAATAATAGCCTTAAGTAGAGTTTCTTTCCCAGCTTGTGATAGATACTTCATCTTCCAATTACTGAGTTTGCCTCGTACTCGGTCCAGGATGTGCTTAAAACCTCTTGTTCTATTCCTCCCAATCAACGTTGGAAGTCCAAGGTATATGTCATAAGGATGAGAGGATTTTACCCCAGTCACTTGGATAATTTGCTACTTGACATCTCCTCTAGTATTTTTGCTGAAAAATATAGAAGTTTTTTTCTTATTAAATCTTTGCCCGGAACTCTTTTCATAGGTGTCTAGTAGCTTAAACAACCTATTCCATTCATAATGATTAGCCTTACAGAAGAGAAGACAGTCATCAGCATAAAAGAGGTGGCTAATACTCATTTAGAACACCCCATTGGAACCCCTTTGATAACTCCTCTATCTTCAGCATCTTGAAGACCCTACTAAGAGCTTCAGCTCCAATAATGAATAGATAAGGTGACAAAGGGTCACCTTGTCTAATCCCACAAGAAGGTTTGAATGGTTTTTGAGGAATCCCATTGATGAGAACCGAGTAAATAACTGATGAGAGGCAGTTCATGATGACTTTGATCCAGGTTGGGTTAAAACCAATCTTAAGCATGACTGCTTACAGGAAAGAGCACTCAAGCCTGTCGTAAGCCTTGCTCATATCAAGCTTAAGCGCCATATAACCATCCTTTCCTTTTAGACTGGTATTCATAGTATGCATGACTTCAAATGTCACTATAGCATTATCAGTAATCAACCGGTCTGGTATGAAAGCACTTTGTGATGGAGATATAATCTGTGGTAGGATTTTTTGCAGTTTATTAGCAAGAACCTTGGCCAAAATTTTATAAGGGACGTTGCATAAAGATATTGGCTTGAACTCTGACACTTTAGAAGGAGTTTTAATCTTGGGAATTAATGCAATAAGAGTAGCATTAAAGTCCTGAGGCCAGCTCCTAGAATAGAAGGCATCTCTCACAGCAGCACACACGCTAGGTCCAATGATCTTCCAATGTTTCTGATAGAAGATGGTAGGAAATCCACCAAGTCCTGGAGATCCTAAACCATTCATATTGAAAACAGCTTTTTCTACTTCTTCATTAGAAATTTGCTTAACCAAATCACTGTTCATTTCAGGAGTTATAATAGGATTTACCACATGGATACAGTCCTCTATTCTCTCAGGCATTGACGAAGAAAATAATGATTGAAGAAATAATTGAAAAAGGTTGCTAACCTCTTCAGGTTTATTAGCATATTTGCCATCATCACTTGAAATTTGTTTGATAACATTAGACTTCCTGCGTTGGTTAGCACACAAGTGAAAGAATTTTGTACTACGATCACCCTCTTTTAACCATTGTTATTTAGCTCTTTGCCTCCATTTGATATCATCTTCTTCTAGAAGTCCATCAATTTCTTGTTTGAGTTGTTGCAATTCTTCCTTCTTATCGCCTCTATTTGTGTCTTCCAGATGCTTCAGCTGAGATAACTTGTCTGTCATAGTATTCCTTTGGTTTCGGAAAGTGCTTTTGCTCCAGGTGGACAATTTTTCTTTACACCTTTGGAGTCCTTCCATAGCATCTGGCAAACTAGAGTTCGGATTTAAATTGCAAAGCCATTCTCTTTGGATCAGCTCCCCACATTCAGCTCTATTATCCCAGGTAGCTTCATATCGGAAAGGCCTATGCTTTCTGATTTCAGTTTCCAATTCTCCTCTAATTTGGATGAAAATTAGTTTGTGGTCAGAAGAAGAAACACTTAAGGAATTCACTATGCAATCTGAGAACAGTTCAAACCATGCCTTATTTCCAAAGCCTTTATCTAATTTTTCCTTTGTGAAATACCATCCCTCTCTGCCATTATTCTAGGTGAAGAAATCTCCATTGAAAGGAATCTCACTAAGATCACAATCTAAAAGTGCTTCTCGAAAATTTTCCATTTGCCTGTAAGGTCTATCTGCAGCTTTGAACTTCTCATATTGGTGGCAAATTTCATTAAAGTCACCAATACACAGCCATGCCATATTCGATTGAGCTTTTAATTCTCTTAACAAGTTCCAGCTACCTATTCTTTTAGAAGCATCCGGGTGTCCATAAAAACCAGTTAAAATGAATTTCTGGTTTGCTGTTGGCTGATTAATGATAATAGAGATGTGATGTTGAGTATAGGACACCAAGTCCACTTCCTTAACATCCTTCCATAACATTGCAATACCTCCACTAGCCCCTCTATTTTCAACAACAAAGCTGCATGAAAATCCAATCTTGTTTCTTATGAGCTCTAATTTATTCCTGTTACACTTTGTCTACATAAGGAAAACAAAGTCGGGACACTTAATCTTCACCCAATGATGAAGTTCACGAACTGTCCGTGGGTTCCCAAGCCCACGGCAGTTCCAGCTAATGCAAATCATTGGGTTGGTGGGGCTACGAAGCAGCCTCCACCATGAAAGTTGTAGGAGCAGAGTCATTTGATACTTTCTGTTTCTTGGGACTGTGTATCTCAGTAGAGCCTTCTGCTGTTAATCGTATATTCCTTTTTTTTTGTCTGAATAGAACCTTCCTCCACATTGATGTGATTAATGCCTCTAGCTTTCCGTTACCAAGTGGGCCTCTTAGATCCACCCGGATGTATAACTTGGGAGGAGATTTAGAAAGTTGAGGAGTTGCTGTCACATCCTGATGAGGAGGAGCTTCTTGCCAATCTTGAGCCATGACATCCTCAATTAAAGCATTTGTTTCTGGGAGAGAATCTTGGGTTGATCTGTTATTGGCAGAGATAATTGGAGAATTAATGGATGAAATATTCTCTGCATCTTTCTTGGAAAGTTGACCTGCAGGCAATCCTTACCATATAACGTATCCGTTGCAGAGTCAGTTCGAATGCTATTACTACCTTCCTTTATTATTTCCTGAAAATCAGTCTCCAAATCCAAGGTTTACTCTTAAATTAACAGAAATGGTTTAAAATAAAATATATTTTAAAGTTAAATTTCTTAAATAAAAAGCTTTTAAAGAGTTTATGTGGTGCTTAAATACCATTATTAAGTATTTTCCCTCAACTAAATTTCTTTTACTTTCAGTATATACCATTGAATATGAATTGTAAAATATTCTTTTAGTTCCATGAGATCAATCAAATGGTGTACAAACAGTCCTGACATAATTAATATTAAGACGGTTTGACTAGATGTTTACTTATATATATATATATATATATATAAATATATTTTATATTATATAATTATATATATATATATGGCAAGGTGATTAGTTTTGCTTAATCCCCCAAAATTTTATAATAATTATTATTTTTATTGTTTAGGGTGTATTCCGTATACCATTCGCCTTATTGTTTAATTTGAACACACCTAAGCTTTGGAAACAGTAAAACCTTCTTATAATTATTAAAAAGATCTCTAAATAGAGGAATTTATAGATATTAGAGAGTTTTTAATAATTATAAGAGGATTTTGATACTTTTTAAAAGCTTGGGTGAGATTCATGTAGTGGTATGTGAAATAAAGCATGTTTATTATTCTAATTTTTATTCCCTGATTATGGACTTGGGCAAAAATAACCGAGTCCAGATAGTAATCAGCACAGGCCCAAGGCTAGAAAGACAAAAACAAAAAAAACCCACTATGCCTTGGGCCTTACTCATTTCTTGATGACTTCTCCCTCGTGTTCACTTTTAAAATGCTTTTGATTGTGAAATGGCAGACAGGCCACGCTCAGAATCTCCAGCATGTACTTTTGGGATTTGGGGTTTTGTTAGTTACTTGATGGCATATAGCTGGTAATGATTCTCATAAAGGGGGTTAGATATATATTAAGTGTTTTTTCTCAATTTATGATAAATATTAATATAAAATATTGTATTTATCGTATTCTATATATTACATAAAATTGCCTTAATTGTAAATCTCCACTCTATAATTGGGAGAGACAAGGAATATATAGAAAAGAGTTAATAAAAATTAATTATAAATAAACTTTTGATTACTTTAGAATGTAGCAAAAATTAGTCATGTTATTAGTTGTAATAATATATATCATTAAATAATTTAATTTAAAAAAAGAACACGTGATGTTTAATTTTATATTGAATATTATTTTATTCTAAAGTATTTGCATTCTTTGAGTCAATGTTAATTCTCCGCTTCTAATTTCACATTATGAAAGATTCCAAGCACAAGCAGCAAAAGGAAAGTGAAAAGATGGTGCCTTTAGATTAGTCAAAAAGCAACATAACCACTATTTCCTATAAGCCAAGAAAAATTAAAGAAGTGCAGACACACAAAGGTAAAGAATCTCTTAATCATACACCTTAAAACAACCACAAACATTCACAATTTCATCATCCCATCAAGATTGTGACAGATTTTTCAATTTCATTTCTTTATAGAATTTTGAGTTTTTCAGCTCAAAATTAACTTCTCATGGATGGTTCAGCATCAAAAGCTGAAGTTATAAAGCCGGTTCTGCTCAAAGCTGGCATTCCTTTGGGTCTGTCTGTGGCTGCTTTTTTTTATGCAAGGATCATGGCAAAAAGGAGTGTACTTTCTAAAGAAGAAGCTCTAGAAAACCAGGTGAGCTCTATCAAAACTGATTCTTTTGAAGAGTTGAGAGATGAGGAAGAAGGTGAAGAGATTATCAGAAATACCCATTTGATGAACAATTTAGTAGGAGTTTCTAGTTATCAGGATAAGGTTGATTATGAGCAAGAGATTTTAGGCCTAAGAAACCAAGTTGAAGATTTGGAAAAGAGAGAATGGGAGATGAAGAGGCAGCTTGTTCATTATCATGATTTAAAAGAGCAAGAATCTATGCTTATGGAGATTAAATATATGTTGTTGTTGGAGAAAGGTCATGTTGATTTGTTGGATAGAGAGATTTCATCCATGGAGGCAGAGAACAGAAGGGTTGATAATTTGGTGGTTGAGTATCTGAGAGTCCTAGAGCAGCTTCAATGTTGGAAATCAGAAAGTGGGTTGCTTCGGAGGAAGGTAAAGAAGCTTTTGAAGAAAGCTAAAGAGCAATCATGTATCATAAGGGAAAAGAACTTGAAGATTGAAGCTACAGAAGAAGAAATATTGAGTAGCCGCAACACGATAGAACAAAAAAGTAATGTTGTCAGGAAATTGCAGGATGAAATGGGAGAATTGCAATCTGTTATTGATCAATTGCAGGAACAAAACAGGGAACTGTTGAGCAAGGTGCAATTGGCAGAGCAATCGGCATCATTAATCTCAAAGGTTTAGCTATTCTAATAGTATGAATAACTGGATTTACATTGTTTCTTATTTGTTAAATTTCCTTGGATTTGATGGTCTAACTGGCTTGGAGCTTCCAATTTGCAGATTGAAGATGAAGGAATAACAATGGAAGATTACAAACAGCTTGTAGATGAATATGAACAACTTCAAAAGGATCGAGCGGCTGAAGTTAAGGAATTGATTTACTTAAGATGGACTAATGCATGCCTAAGACATGAGTTAATGAGGAATCACGCACAGACGCAACAGCAAGAACAAAATCAAGAGAAGAAAAACATTATGGAGTTAGAATTTGAAGGGTGTGGAGATCACGGCATGCAGCATCACCTGGTTTTGGAGCATGGTGAGCCTTGCTTAAGTGTGGAAAATGCTGGTAGTTCAAAAAGGCCAAAGTTGCTGCAGAAGCTTAAAAGATGGGTGGAGGGAAGTGAGAAAATGAAATCTAAGTTTGATGAGAAAGAGAAGCATGAAATTAAGTGCTTTGGGAGGCATTCCCATTCTGTTTGTGATGAACCAGAGGAAGAGCATGTAAATCTTCCAAGGAAGTCATGGTCCAGTGCATGACCATCCTGCAAACTTCAGAGAATTGCTTAAACTAAAAGCAACCTATGTTTTAGGAAAATGAAAATTCAATAACATATGAATGTCAGAAATGAATAAATTGAGTAAAAAAGTGGAGCTACTGATGCTGCCTCAAGTCAATTTTTAATACAATGTGTAACATTTCATATGATAAATAAGACCTACATTACTGACAAAGTTGAGTTACCATCCCCAATTTGTTTAAGTTCATGTTTGCCCCACTGGTTATTGCTATAGTATTTTCTCCACCGAGACTATATAATTATTTGCACAGCATAATTACCATGGTTAATTAATCAGGCTCAAATAGGATGATAAGATAACAGAAGAGAGCGAGTTCCAAATATGGAACGAACCTCTACAGTCACAAATAGCATCTCGGTGTATAAGAACTACGCCATCTATCAAATCCTGGCATGGTCGGAAGTTTTCTTCTCCAACCTCTTTAACAGTCACCCCATCCCGCAAAACCCCCTACTCTCACCATGATGTAGTGATAATGCCATTACATTTGCATCATAAGGTTCCACTAGCTCCAGTAACTTTTACCTGTATTATGGATATTCCGTTATTACATTTAGTTCTCTTGATATTTTGTGCCATATAGTAAGAAACATATTAAGTGGTAGAAAAGAACAAGGGACATTCATGTAATGGAGTCAGTTTTGATATGGAGGGTCAAAAAGCCTGGAAGAAGTCCGAATCCTGCTGAATCTGGTCTAACTCTAGGCAACGAGATAATAGTTGAGAATGAAAACCAAATTGAAGAAAATGTTTGATGGGAGAGAAGGTGGCATTATGTATAGGTCTTCTTGTACATTATGTATACGGTAAGAATAAATCAATTCAATAATTGAACCCTAGCTGAGAAGGTGGCATTTGTTTTTTCAATCGAAAACTGAAGTAATAGCTGAGATGAAGGTGAAGGAGTGGCCTACCTACATTGGGCTGATAACTAGAAGATGGCCTACTTGCATTGGGCTGAGAAGTAGCAGATGGCATCCTTGTGGGCCGAGAGCTAGCAAAGGGTCTGCTTACATTGGGTTGAAAAGTGGCAGATGGCATCCTTGAACTTGCCTGTAAAATGAAAATTTAAAAGTTAGATTGCAATGAAAATATAAGTAATCAATAGCACTGAAAGTGTTTGAGCTATACATAGATAATAGAACATTGTAGATGCAAAAAAATCTACTTTTATGGAAATAGGGTCTGATCCCGTGAGGTTGAGGCCACCAGCAAGCCGCTGTACCTGCACATGCGAGGAAACAAGCGTGAAGCGAATGGAAAACACCGAGGGTGGTGTTTACTGTAGGCACTTCGACTCTCAAGTCAGCAAGGCTAAATGAGGATAATTTAGTGAGGGTTAGGGAAAGAGAAGGTTACTTGGAGTGAGAACTACTGGGTTCAAAGGTGTAATGTCTCTGTCCCTTGTGAGAGGATTGGCCTCTGTTTAAATAGCGACTATAGGATCTTCGAATCCTAGTAGGACTGTGAGTCCTTGGAGGTTGAGAGGTTCTGTAAATAGGAAGGCTTTTAATATCCTTGCCTTAGTAGGAGAGGGAGTCCTAGTTGGCCTAAGATACGGATCTTAGACGAGTTCGGTTAGTAATGAATCCTTTTGGTAGAATCTGAATGGTACCAAAATAAGGAATAGACGACCTTGGGGTCTAAATAAACCCTAGGTCCAATAGGTGATCTTGCATCAAAGGGCTTGGGGCTAGACAAGCTGATGATGAGGCCCAAACAACTCAAGGCCTTTACTGATTGGCTTCAAGCAATGAGCAACAGGGTAGATGTGGCGAGCGGACCTAATATACAAACTCTGTTGTGAACCCAATTAGAATTGGGCCATGGCTCCGGGCTTTGTTGAAGGTGTCTTCGTCTTTGAGCCGAGGACATTTTTTGGCCTTAATAGTTTGCCCCCCACTCTCTAAGTTAAGGAGCGCTTAGCTTAGAGAGTAGGGGTTGCGTGAAGGTGTGCTTAGTCGTCCTTCGTGACCGACTGGTTGAATATGTGAATGTGCTGCTTCTCTGTTCGCGGGAACGAATAGTATAGCTTTTATTGTAGGTGATGCATTTGGTACACTAGGCCGAGTGAGTGGAGGCGAAACACAATCATGCCTTCACTCGGCATATCTGACTGAGTAGGGAGTGGAGTTGACCTTGATGGCCTCATCCGGTGCATCGGATCGAGGAGAAGCATGAAAGAATCTACTAAAGGTGTCCTCACTTGGTATGTCAAATCGGGTGGGAAGATATGCGAGACGTCCAATGAAGGTGTCCTCACTTGGTGTATCGAGCTGAGTGAGAAGTTGTGCGAGCTATCCCATGAAGGTGTCCTTACTCGATGTATCGAGCCGAGTGAGAGTATGTGCGAGCTATCCCATGAAGGTGTCAGTACTTGGCGTATTGCATTGAGTGGAATACGTTAGGGTGATTTTGGTGGTAGTGCCTTAGGCTGATTGGTTGAATCCGAATGAGTAGGTGTATGCGCACTCCCAAACAAGTGGCTAGTTCACTCAGTCGGGATGACCGAGAGGGTGAAGGTTGTGTTTTGCTTTAGCGGTGTTTGTCACGACACCGGTGAGCCGAGGTTAAATGGTTAGTACGTTCGATGCTAAAATGTAATACCCAAGATGTCAAAGGTATGTTCCTAACTCAAAATAGTCATTTAAATGTTAATTTTATGCTAAAAAGCACAAAATCTAACTAAGGGCAAAATAGTCAATTCATTTGGAACAATATGAATCATTTATCCATAAAAGGGTATTAGGGGCAAAATAGTCATTTTTCCTATGGATAAGCATTGCAAAAGTCAAGGATGAGTTTGCTTAATTGCATTTAATGGTATTAATTAAGTAATAATTATGTTTATTGCCAAATAATCAAAATGCCCTTATATAAAGAATTAAGGACTTATGAGTTATACAATTAAAATAATTGGGCCAATAACATAATTTTGAAAAATTAATGAAATATTTTCTTATAAATGAGAGGAAATTCGTTCAAGCAAAAGGAGATATCATTTCTTCAACTTTTCTCCCATTTTCTCTCAAATCTTCCATGAAACAAGCTTTCTCTCTCTATGTTTTAAAGGAGTTTTGCATAATTTTTCAAGGATAACAAGATAGGAGCCTTGGATCTTCAAATTGAAGGGTTTAAGGTAAGGAATAAAAACCCTAGTTTTATTGTGATTTGAAGATATGAGGTAGATGTTAAGGTATAATGTTATATATGTAGGAATAAGGTGTAAAAGAAGAAAAAGGCAAAGGATTTGGTGGGGGAATTCTTTAAAAAGGTAAGGAAGAACCTCCTATGACTTTAGGGATTATGTTAGGGTTCGTAGATTTGAATGAAACCTTAAATTAAGGCTTTAAGGCATAGAATTAGTTGATGGCAAGTGTAGTTGAACTCATTAATGTTATTTATTGCCTTGAATTCATTATACATGAAGTTATTGCTGTTTATGTTTTATGAGTTGTTATGTTTAATTGAAGAAAATGAAGTATTGATGTTGATTGTGGCAAAACTTGTAGTATTGGAGGCCACATGGTATTGAATGATTGCTATTAGAAGTGTTGATGTGTTGTTTGCATTAGCTTACAATGTTATAGAAATAATGGATGATTATGGGAATGAGGTTTTACACTTGCTTTAAGATGTTAAAGACTATCAAGGGGAGGTTTATTTGATCCATAAGTTGACCTATTGGTTAATTGTCAATAGGAATTGATGTGACATAGTTTAATATGAAAAATTTGGATTTGGTAAGTTTAGGGGTTATGTTAAACATGCTTCAGTATTTCGACCATAACTTGAGTTATAAAAATCGAAATGAGATGATTCTTGAAGCAATACAAAGTTAAGACATAGTCCTATAACTTTTATGCTAATCCAAGAGCCAATTCGTTTAGGAAATGGATGGGAAATTGCCTGAAGTATAAGCTTCTAGTTATTAAAGTTTAAGATTTAACATAATTAATTCTTATGATTATGAATTGATTATATATTGATGTGATTAAGTCATACACTAATGTTTACCCATTAATTAGATGATATTTGAAAGATACACATGGTCATGGATGCGAATGCATGATTAATATTATGAAATGGCATGAAGATGTAATGTAATATATGTTTTAAGATGAATATATACTTTAGATGCTAAACAACGCGTAAGCATATCCTCGTATACCGGTTGAGGAAAGATGAATATATGCTTTAGATACTAAATAACGCGTAAGCATGCCTCTCGATGATATGAGCTTTAGATGAATTTGCGGCTAGATGAGAGGAGAGATGAATACATGCTTTAGATGCTAAACGACGCGTAAGCATATCCTCGTATACTGGTTGAGGAAAGATGAATATATGCTTTAGATGCTAAATAACGTGTAAGCACACCTCTCAGTGATATGAGCTCTAGATGAATTTGAGGCTAGATGATATGAAGTGCTTAAGACGCTAAGAAAAGTTTGATCGGCTATATGTTGGATGATTCGTATGCACTTAGTTGCATTACATGAGTTATGATGTTATTTACATTATGAGATGATTTGTACTCATGTTAGATGATATTTAGATGTTCCGTCATGAAATGTGATGTGTGTGCACTATGTTTGCATATTTATTTGTATGTGTACACTTGATGTTTTATATGACCATGGGGAAGATGATGAAAATTATATGAGTTAGTAAAGAAAAGGAACCACACTTAGTTGCGAAAGACATGTGGTATATGAATGAATGTGTTTGAATGAATGTCAAATAACATACTTGGTATTAAATGGATCATTCCTTACTGAGCGATTAGCGCTCACCCTTTCATGGTTGAATTTTTGCAGGTAATCGAGAAGCGAAGGATGTTGGAGACAGCAAGGCTATGCGTGAGGTGTAACACTTGCTCTCTACTTCTATTCTTATAGTTCATACTATGTAAATTATAGATATACATAGCTATGAAAAATAGTGGGCTCAAATTTTTTATTTACTCAATAAAATATAATTCTTTACAAATACAATATACTATGTATTAAAAACTTTCTACTTAATACAAAATATCATAATTGGTGGATAGTAGTGTTAATACTCTCCGCTCCTCGACATTCATCCGACCGCTGCTCCTATTTCCTGCAAAACAGGGAAGAACAATGGGGTGAGCACAACAA